CAGACATAAAACCAGAAAAGCATATATGTAGCCCCAGCCCAAAGCCCACTTGTGCCCTGTGCCCAACATAATAACTCATAAGTGCTGCTGATCTGCATTTTGGCCAGAGGAACCTTGGGTCCCACTCAGAAAAGTCGTCTGCACGCTGCATGCAGGGACCCTGAGTGCTCCGTTCATCTCCCACGTTCTCTCCTCCTGAGTCATCTAATATTGCGGCTGGCTAATTAAAACACCAAAGCCCCAAGTACAACAGCCCTGCCAGTAGCCTCCTAATGCCTGGTTTCAAGTGTGCAATCCCATGAAACCCAGGGTGGGGGGTGGTACGGCTTGCACTCGGACAGCCAATGACTCGACTCTTAATGACCATCCCTCGAACATCTGGGACCTCCACAGATGGCCTCTTTTATTAGTCCTGTTCTCTCACTCCTCCCACTCCCTGGGGACGAAGACTCCGCTGCTGCCCACAGGCCACACCCTGCTCCTCCTCCTCATGCCTGGACCCCCCACCCTCTGAGTCCTGGGCCCAGATCCAATGTCATCACCACATCTGTCATCCCCGCCCTGGGATTCCAGATGCGCCTCGGCCTCTATGGCGTCCACATGGGTGGTTGAGAGGGTTTCTGAACTGACTGAATGAGACCTGGTGTGTAGGGAGAATGGCTGGTGTGTCTTCATGTGGGCAAGGTGGGATTTTTTTTCTCAATGGTACAGGTTGTTGGCACGATCAGAGGTATGTGTTTCATACAAAGCTCTGCCCAGCTGTGACTTCCATCACCTCCAAGACTCATCTTGGAAGAGACAGGAGGGGAGACAGGACCCTAAAGAAGTATTTATTGTTAACCGTGAAGTGGGTTATTTGTATGTAATTTCCTAGGGAAACATGAGCGCAATAACTTAGACAGGCTAGAAAGTATAAATGAGGAACAAAGGGAAGAATTCATCCAAACCTTTATCATGCTCCCAGTGTGGTAGTATAGTAATAATACTTGCAGAAGTACCAATACTACAAGTAGTACTAATACTTCTAATACTATAAGTTGGGCTAGTAGTCACATAATAATAACATTTATAATAGTAAGTAATGGCTAACATTTAGGGGGTGACAATCATCCGAGTGAGAGATGACTTGGTCAGGGTGCTGGCCAGTGGAGGGGCAGAGGATGGATTCTAGAGGTAGTTAGAAAGCTAAAATGGGTGGGAGTCAGTAATGGATTGGGTGTAGAAGATAGAGAAGAGGCTGGTGACTAAGAGAGCTCCCACCTGTGGCTTGTTCAGCACAGATGGTTGGTAGCACCCAGCACTGAGATGGAACCATGGGGAGGACCAGATCTGGCTGGAGTGGGGAGATGTGGAAGATTATGAATCCTAGCACCTTCCACATGCTCTCTGTGCTGCTACAGTCCGCACTTTTCTGGAGCAATCTGTTTTTTGTTTTTTGTTTTTTTTTTTTTTTAATAGAATCTTGTGGTTCAGTGGCGCAGTCTTGGCTCACTGCAACCTCCGTCTCCTGGGTTCAAGGGATTCTTCTGCCTCAGCCTCCTGGGTAGCTGGGACTACATATGTGCACCACCATGCCCACCTAATTTTTTGTATTTTTAGTAGAGATGGAGTTTCACAGTGTCAGCCAGGATGGTCCCAATCTCCTGACCTTATGACCCGCCCACCTCAGCCTCCCAAAGTGCTGGGATTACAGGCGCGAGCCACCGCTGGAATGATCTTTAACAGTGGCGTGCTCGTCCCCTACCCCCTGTTCCCCGGGCTTCAACATGGCAGCATGAATGCTTTAACACAGAACTCTTATTCCACTGGCTGCAAAGGTGGCCAGGATAGGTCTCTTACCTCAGGCCCTTTGCAGGATCCGTTCTCTCTGCCTGTAAACCCTTGCTTCCTCTTCTTTCCCTGGCTAGCTTCTTTTCCTGCTCGTCTTCTGGTCTTGACTTAGAGGTTAGATGTCTCTTCTATGTGCTCCCACTCCCCTGTGCTGCCAAAGTCCCATTTAATGGCATTCAGTGTGCTAAATGGATTGCAATGGCTCATTCAGTCGTCATCACCCCCCACAGGACTGTGACTTCAGGGAGCAGAAATCACATCCATCTAGTTTGTCACTATAGTCTTGGTCTCTGCTGCCTTGCCTGACACATAGGAACTACTCAATAAACATGTTTTGAATGAATGAATGATACTTAATGGTCAGGAGGCAGAATAGTCACGCTGTTTAGGGCATGCTTTGGGAACCAGACTGCCTAGGTTGGACCCCTTTCTCCAGCTTACTAGCTCTACCATCTTGGACAACTTAGTTAACCTTTCTGTGCCTCAGTTTCCTAATCTGTAAAATGGGGATAATCAGGTTGTTGCTGGGCACATAGTAAATGCTCATTTAATGTTAGTTTTCAGTATTAGTCCTTCATAATTTTCTGTGACTTCTATCTTGAACTTAGCCCATTTGATCATAATTCACAGCTACCCTCACCAGCCTGAGCTCCTCGAAGCCAAGAGAAGGGTGCCCTGCTCCTTTCTGATTTTATCTCCTTACCCTCGCCCTCATGCATACACCCCAGCCACACTCAAACTCCTTGCTGGTCCTTTGGACTTAACAAGCTCATTCCCACATCAGTGCCTTTAAAGCACTTGTACTTCTCCCCTTAACTTAGTTCCAATCACCTCCCCATTTTCTTTTTTTATCATCGCCTGGAATTATACCAATCCTATGTTAGTTTACTTACTGTTTATCTCCGCTTCTACCACATACCACTCCAGAAGGCAAGGTTCTTGTCTGTCTTCCTCACTGCTGAATCCCCAGTGCCTATTTATTGAGCATGTTTTATAATAGGTGCTCAATAAATACTGAGCACTCCCCACAGGACTGTGACTTCAGGGGAGCAGAGATCACATCCATCTAATTTGTCACTGTAGGCTTGGTCTCTGCTGCCTTGCCTGGCACATAGGAACTACTCAAGAAACGTGTTGAATGAAAGAACGATTCCTAATGGCCAGGAGGCAGAATAGTCAAGCTGTTAAGGGCATGGTTTGAACTTAACATAAATAATAATACATACTGAGCACCTATCATAATACATGCTCAATAAATAGGCACTTAAAATCCCACAATAAATAGGGGATTCAGCAGTGAAGTTGAATGTATGAATGCCCTGCCTCAAGGTTACTGTGCACTGATGGACTCTGCATGAGTGTTACTTAACATCGGCTCATCTTCTCCCTGCCCTTGCTCGGCTTTCACATCAGAGTGTGCCTGCTGACTCTCCCTTAGAGTTACTAAGTGATCAATGCTTGCCTGATACATGTGTGTGCCTGTGCCTAGGCGGGTAAACAATAACCCAGGAGCATCCAAGAGAGATGTGATCCTAGGCCAGATGTGGTGGCTCACACCTACAATCCCAGCATTTTGGGAGGTTGAGGCAGGAGGATCACTTAGTCTAGGAGTTCAAGACCAGCCTGGGCAACCTAGTGAGACCCCTGTCTCTACAAAAAAAATATAAAGAATTGGCTAGGCATGGTGGTGCATACCTGTAGTCCCAGCTTCTTGGGAGGGTGAGATGGAAGCCTAGGAGGTCGAGGCTTCAATTGGCTATCATTGTACTGCACTCCAGCCTGTGTGACAGATCAAGACCCTGTCTCAAAAAAAAAAAAGAAAACAGGCAGACATAATCCTTATCAATGGGGTCTAAAATGAATGGGCCAACACTGGTCAGCCTGAGACTTATCCCCTATGCTTACTGGTCAAATTTTTTGCAGGGTGAAGACATATGGGGGACTAAGGTGTTCAAGGACAGAGGGGACAGTAAGTGCAAAGACCCTGAGGCAGGAACAAGCCTGGAAGTTTTAAAAGGCAGAAACCTGGCTGGACACAGTGCCTCACGCCTGTAATCTCAGCACTTTTGGAGGCCAAGGTGGACAGATCATGAGGTCAGGAGTTTGAGACCTGGCTAACATGGTGAAACCCCATCTCTACTAAAAATACAAAAATTAGCCAGATGTAATGGTGAGCACCTGTAATCCCAGCTACTCCGGAGGCTGAGGCAGGAGAATTCCTTGAGCCCAGGAGGCAGAGGTTGCAGTGAGCCAAGATTGCGCCACTGCAGTCCAGCCTGAGCGGACAGAGCAAGACTCCCATCTCAAAAAAAATAAAAAATAAAAAATAAAATAATAAAAGACAGAAACCCAAAATGTGGGAACAATATTCTTTGCTTCAAACTTTTTCATTTTCTTATTATTTGTCTGAGATGGAGTCTCACTATTGCCCAGGCTGGGGTGCAGTGGCACAATCCTTGGCTCACTACAGCCTCTGCCTCACAGGTTCAAGCGATTCTCCTGCCTCAGCCTCCCGAGTAGCTGAGATTACAGGCACTGCGCTACCATGCCTGGTTAAATTTTGTATTTTTTAATAGAGCCGGAGTTTGACCATGTTGGCAAGGCTGATCTTCGAACTTCTGACCTCAAGTGATCCTCCCGCCTCAGCCTCCCAAAGTGCTGGGATTACAGGTGTGAACCACTGTGCCTGGCCCAAAATCTTGCCATTTAAATCTTTCTGTTTTCTCAGTACTTACCAGAAATGGTGAGTTTGGGCTGTCACAGAAAGGCTTAGAAATCCAAGTAAATCAACCCAGGTTTGACTACTTGGGGCTGGGGGCTATTATCATTCAAAGAGGCTGATGGTGTCCTTTCAGTCATGTATTCATTCAACAAACATTCACCGAGTCCTTCCTCACTGTGTCAGACCCTATGCTGGAAACCAGGGACCACCTTTGAGTTCCTCACCCCTCTCCCTAGAGCAGAAACCAAGAGGCTCTTCCACGTAGGGGAAATCAGGTTCCAGGGAACCTTGTACATGTCAACCAGGGAGGGCTGGATCTTACTCTGGATCCAGACAGTGGTGACTCAAGACAGATCCCAGGAAGAACAATGGCTCTCCCAGCCCCCGTGGAGACAATGTTAGTCCACTCAAGACCCTGCCTCATCTTCACCTTCATTCTCTCCTCCAGCCTCCTGCCTCGGGAAAACAGTCCCCCCCAAAGAATGGCAGCCCCTCCAAGTGTCCACGCTTCCTCAAGGTCAAGAACTGGGAGACTGACGTGGTTCTCACTGACACCCTCCACCTTAAGAGCACACTGGTAAGTATCCCAGCAGAGTGTAGGCAGCAGGGTGGCAGCTTCATCACTAACCACATTTGGAGTCGGATAATTATTTGTTGTGGGGGCTGTCCTCTGTTGTAGGATGTTGAGCATCACCCCTGACCCATATCCCCTAGATATTAGTGCACCCCCTTCCAGGCTGTGACAACCAAAAATGTCTCGGACAGAGCAGGAGCACCATCGTCTTGGGCAAACACTGCCATTTTAAGTTCCAGCTCCCTTTCTAATCACATGCATTTCAAGGAAATAACTTCTCTTCTAACAACCAGCAGCCAGAGAAAGCAGACAGTAAAACACAGATAAGACAGCTGGGGCACAGAGGAAGGTGGGAGGAAAGTCTATTGGGTAACCACTAAATTTCACACTCATACAATGGACCCCAGTAAAACAGTGGGCCTTAATAAGCACATTCCTTTTCCTTCGGGTGCACTAAAATAGGGGAGCTAAAAGCAGACTTGGGGGGTATGCCTGCAGCTGCAGGAAAATGTATGGGAACAGACACAAAAATACTCCCTCCCAGATAAGCAAGACAAAGAGACACAGAAACACTCTAAGCCTGTGATAAGCTCTACCACCCTAAATCCTTAAATACTCTTAGTCTGGAAAAAAGAGTGCTCCTCATTAGGACAGATAACTAATGCCTGTGGGGCTTAAAACCTAGATGATGGGTTGATAGGTGCGGCAAACCACCATGGCACATGTGTACCTGTGTAACAAACCTGTATGTTCTGCACATGTATCCCAGAACTTAAAGAAAAAAAAAGTGCTCCTAACCTAACTTAGCCAGAAGCCCCTCTCAGGTTTATTCTTTAAAATAAACCTGTCTCTAACTGTTAAGCCACTTTTCATGTTTCTTTCTTCCTTCTTCAACTCATATAGTCTCCAAGACATTGCCTAACATCACCTGGGCAAGAAATTCACCCCTTTTTGAGAACCACTGGTGGATTCTCACTGTCTTATGTAAATGTTTTTTATTTGTGTATCCAGGACACAAAAGAATCTAAGGAGAGTTGCTGCTTCGGAATACAGTCTCTGTCTCTCATAGTCTGGCCACTGTTGGAGTATTGAACAAACCCTTCCTTGGTTTCACAGTGTGTCCTCAACACTAATATTTTTAGCAGTCAACAAACCACCATATTGCTTTAAATTTTTGTTGAACATGGGCCTCTTAGAAGAATGGTATCTGTAAGTGTAATAAATTGCCCTGAAATTTAGTGGCTGAAAACAACTATTAAAACTGTTTCAAAAGTCTACAGATTGTACTGGGAGGTTTAGTGATCTGGCCTAGACTCTGTTGATTTTATTGGGGCTTTCTCATGCATCTGTAGTTATCTGAGGGGTCAACTAAGAGCAGAGTGGTCTAGGATGGTCCTGGCTGAGATAACTCAGCCCTGTTCCATGTGGTCTCTGCTCTTCCAGCAAGCTAGCTTGTGCTTATTCACACATAGTTGCAGGATTCTAAGAGAATGAGCAGAAACATGCAAGAACTCTTGAGGCCTAGACTCAGAATTGTCACAGGGTCATTTCTGCCACATCCTGTGGGTCAAGCAAGCTGAGAGTCGAGGGGTTGAAGGGTAGGCGTCACTTTTTTGTGGAGAATTGCTGTAAAGCCACATTGTCAAGGGTGTGAATACAGTGAGGGGAAAAATTAGGGCCACATTTTGTAATCCATCTATCATAAATGCATTCAAATGAGTTACTGTAGCCACTCTATTAGTTCTTTCTTGATCATCGTGGAATCTAAAAATATTTCAGAATTTAGTGCCAATAATTCTGATTCCTAGTCAAAAGCTTCTGTTCCCCAAGATGAGTAGAGCAAATTCTTTAGGAACCTTAAAATGCTGCTTATTGCTCCTTACCATGGCTATGACCATATCCAGCAAGGATTTAAAGCTGGTACTTGAGAAATTGCCTCTGGGAATTAAGAGCCAGATAAACCCAACCATGAATATCAGATCCAAGCCCACGGCCTGACACCTGCCACTCTTGGGTAAAACCAAGCAATAGCCCAAATCTCTTTATCTTCCAGGAAACAGGATGCACTGAGTATATCTGCATGGGCTCCATCATGCTTCCTTCTCAGCATACACGGAGGCCTGAAGACATCCGAACAAAAGAACAGCTCTTCCCTCTCGCCAAAGAGTTTATTGATCAGTACTATTCATCAATTAAAAGGCAAGTGTGTGTCAACTCTGGGGAGTCTGGGATAAGTTATCGAGTGCTGGAGACAAAGATGTCAGCTCCAACTTTGCAGACAGGTAAACCAAGGCCAAAGCACAAGGCCTCTGCCATACACAGAGGCTGGAAGCTGGCTACCCACAGGTCCCATCTGTTTCCCAGAAGTGCTTTTGTTTCTCCTGCAAAGGGTTGCTTATAATTTGAAAGATTTCAAGCAATTCCATGCCTAGATACATACCCTAGAGAAACTCTCACACCTGTTCATAAGAAGCCATGGTAAGAATGTTCACTGGAACATTGCTTATAGTAGGAAAAAATTAAAATTAAAGAACAACAAGAGATCAGGCACAGTGGCTCATGCCTGTAATTCCTAACACTTTGGGAGACCATGGCAGACAGATCGCTTGAGGCCAAGAGTTCAAGACCAGCCTGGCCAACATAGTGAAACCTTGTCTCTACTAAACATACAAAAATTAGTGGGGCATGGTGGTGCACTCCTATAATCCTAGCTACTTGGGAGGCTCAGGCATGAGAATCACTTGAACTCGGAGGTAGAGGTTGCAGCCACCCGAGATCATGCCATTGCACTCCAGCCTGGATGAATAGAGCAAGACTCCATCTCAAAAAAAAAAAAAAAAAAAAAAAAAAAAAGAAGAAGAAGAAGAAGAAGAGGAAGAAAGAGAGAAAGAAAAAGAAAAAAAGAAAAACCAACAAGAAACCACATAAATGCCATTAACAAGAGAATGAGTAAGTTGTAATATATTTCAGTGATGGAATACTATACAACCATAAAAATCAAAGAATCTAACGCTCTGCATGTTAATAAAATTGAAGTTCATAGCTAACTTTGAGCAAAAGAAAGGATAAATTGTAGAAGGATACATCCATTATAGCACCATTTATATGAATATTTTATTTATTTATTTATTTGAAACAAAGTCTTGCTCTGTCACCCAGGCTGGAGTACAGTGGCATGATCTTGGTTCACTGCAACCTCTGCCTCCCAGACACAAGCGATTCTCTGCCTCAGCCTCCCGAGCAGCTGGGATTACAGGCATGTGTCAGCCACAACTAGCTAATTTTTGTATTTTTTGTAGAGACAGAATTTTGCCATGTTGGCCAGGCTGGTCTCGAACTCCTAGCCTCAAGTGATCTACCCACCTCGGCCTCCCAAAGTGCTGGGTTTACATAAGCCACCACGCCCAGCCTATATGAATGTTTTAAACATGCAGAATGACATTGCACGTGGTTGAAGGATAGATGCACATGTGGCAAAGGTATAAACAAATGTATGAGAATGATAAACACCAGTTTCAAAATAGCAGTCACTTCTGGGGAGAGAATAGGCGACAATGGGGAAGCCTTCCCCAAGAAACTGTTATATTATTTTTTAGGCTTGGGACATGGGGGGTTATTTTATTATCCTGTATAACATTTTGAAAACCAAAAAATTTTCGTAGTAATTGTTTTAACTTTCTAAAATTGAATTCATTGCCACCACTTACAAATTGGAAGAGTTCCCTTTAAAAGTCAGATTTCCAGTTTCTCTGGAAAGATTTGGCAGTCCTGGAGCCCCATTCCTGTCAGGCGACAACTGGTAAGAGCCGAGGTCTGGCTGCCCGCTTTGGACAAGGCCTGGCCCACCTGTTTGCCGTCGTCCCCACCCAGCTGGTGTGGTTATATGTACAGTGTTCAGCCTTTGTGGGCATTGGAGTTTGCTGTGTCTGCTTTATCTTGCATCCAGACATCGAACTGTTGCAATCCAGAAATCAACTTGGAACTTTCTGTAGCTTCCAGCCTCTTGGAATAACTCTCCCATTCCACCAACTTCTAATTCAGAAGATGGGGTGATATTCTCATGTCCTTTCCTCTCCGCTCAGATTTGGCTCCAAAGCCCACATGGAAAGGCTGGAAGAGGTGAACAAAGAGATAGAAACCACCAGCACCTACCAGCTCAAAGACACAGAGCTCATCTACGGGGCCAAGCACGCCTGGCGGAATGCCTCGCGCTGTGTGGGCAGGATCCAGTGGTCCAAGCTGCAGGTAGGTGGTGAAGTCAGATACCTTGAAGAGCCCTTAAGTGAGAGAAGAGGGGAAGGGGAGTGGATGGCGCTTTAAAAAGGATAAGCTTCTACCAAGGGTACCTGGTGGCCAGGGTAACTTATCAGATGGCGGTCATGGAGCCCCACATTCTAAGATCACAGCCAGCTCTAGATGATAATCATGTGTCATTTAGCCAACACTGTGCTTTTGTAAAAACGAACTTGCATATCTCTTGGGAGGGAGGGCTTATCCTTTTCAGTTGACCACAGACCTCACCACTCCCTTTTGTCTCGCACCTACTCGGCTTATTTATGTTCTCTGCCTACTCCCTGAAGGCATTTATTTGTCCCTTGGTTATGATTTTATTTTAGGAAATAGTTTGAAGATGGAAGTAGATTTGTTATCAAGATGGAGGGGGTTGTTCTGTGTTTTAATCCCTAATCCCTAGTAACATAAGAGGAAATGTAACCAGCCCATTTAAACTCCCTCCTTCATTTCCATTCCTTTCCCACATTCACTTCCATGCCATGCCTACTTTTAGGGGATTTTTTTTTTTTCTGGTCAGATTGGCCTTGGTTATTAGGATAGAAAAGTGAAAATATAAAACGCAGCCTGGGACTCAGTAATGAGGTGCCCACTTTGCCAGTGGAGCAGCAGCTGGGGTGGGATCTGAGTTCTCCTAAAGTGTGAAGATTGCTTTTGGGGGGCTTGGGGGAAGGAAGGGAAGGAGAAGGCAGTCACTCCCACCCTGCGCCTTTCCCAGGTATTTGATGCCCGTGACTGCACCACAGCCCATGGGATGTTCAACTACATCTGCAACCATGTCAAGTATGCCACCAACAAAGGGAACCTCAGGTGAGCTGACCAGCTGGGCATTGGGAGCAGGGGATCCAAAGTTCCCACAGCGTTGAACCCTGGAGGCAGAGGTTGTGGTGAGCCAAGATCACACCATTGCACTCTAGTCTGGGCAACAAGAGTGAAACTCTGTCTCAAAAAAATAAGGAAAGGAAAGGAAGATAACTTTTTCATGATGTAGTTCAATGTTATCTTGTGGCAGGCTTTGACTCTGGAGTCAACTCACCTGCCAGGGAAATGTTCTTCACCTCAGGGAGAAGCGCCAAGCTGGGAGAGGTGTCCCGGCATCTTTTTTTTTTTTTTTTTTTTTCAGTATTTGGTGTGTTTTATAAGAGCAAAGTTTTAACAAAAGGTGGCTTTTATTTACTATAATTTAATATATATGGGGACTGTCCAACCCACGTGGACTCAAGTAAAGATAACCATTAAGCCTGCTAATGTATTTTCTTATTTTCAGTTTACATACAAATTTTTTGTGTTTGCTTCACATTCATAAAAATCCCAATATTGAAAATGACAAATAAACCCTCCCATCCCTTAATTAAATACACAAACAGCTTGAGAAACATACAATTTAAATGGGTTTCAACTTGAAGTGTCATCCAATGAGACTGAAAACATGAACACTTCAAGTCTTGAACCAAATAGTAAAATACTTGCAGGCCTTCAGATCCTTTGACTGATTTACGTCAATCAGAAAACCTATTTTTGGTGTGTAAAATGTATGTGTTCATCTCCAATGACAATTCAAACTCCTGTCGGCCAATCCAGTCTGGGGGAGGCCACAGAGCATCACTTTTTGTAGTTTCACTGTCATCAATAATTCTCTTCAGTTCTTCCGTTACACTCTCGTGTACATAAGCCTCTTTTTTGATCATGACATCATTTTTGCAATGGCTGTTGTTGGCATATCTAAGCTTTCCATCTGGCTGAAATTCGAACTCCAGAAACTTATGCCCAAGCTTGCCCTTGTACCCTATGTAGTAGTGCAGGGAGAAATCACTAGCCACAGCTGGTTTTGTCCCCAGGAAGGCAGAAAACCCAGCCAACATGATGCCCAGCCTTTTTTTCCCCCTCTCTTTTCTTTTGAGACAGAGTCTTGCTTTGTCGCCTTGGCTGGAGTACGGTGGCATGATCTCATCTCACTGCAATCTCTGCCTCCCGGGTTCAGGAGAATCTCCTGCCTCAGCCTACCCAGTAGTTGGGACTACAGGTGCCCACCACCACACCTGGCTAATTTTTGTATTTTTAGTAGGGACAGGCTTCCATGATATTGAACATGCTGGTCTCAAACTTCTGACCTCAAGTGATCCGCCCGCCTCGGCCTCCCAGAATTCTGGGATTACAGGCATAAGCCATCACGCCCAGCCCCGGCATCTTTATTCCATACTCCATCCCAAGTTTCTTCTCTTCTGGGGCAAGTGGACTCCTGTGTAGTTTGCAAAACTACCACAGCAAACATCACATTCAACCCACAGTTCAGTATCCTTCATGGAGAGGACAGGAAGGAACAGTTGAGATTCCCGGAATAGGAAAGTCCTGTTGCTGGTGGTGACCTGCTTTTACTGTGTCTTGCTCTGTCGCCTGGAGCTGTCTCCAATTCTCCTTTGGTTTAAAAGGCAATTGCTCTTGCCGATGCTGTGGGGACTGCTCCTTCAGGTTCTAACCAGCCAAGCCACACCTTGGATTCCTCTTGAACCAATACAAAGAACAAAGCCCCAGGGAGCAGGCCTGGCTGAGGCAGGCAGGTATCCATGTGGCTGATGGCAGCCACGCTGGCAAGTCTCAGCTGGAAGGAACAGCTGGGGCCCCACAGACAGCCAGCTACACTTGTTGGCTCTGCTCACTCACTGCTGCTGTGGCATCTGCTCCCAGCCTCTGAGCACCAGTCCCATCTTGGGGCCACACAGGATCACTGCTGGGATATTCCCATAAGCCCCCGGGCTTCACTGAGTTCATCCAAAAGTGGCTTCTCTGCATGAAAGATGAATTTTCTTGGATGTGTCTTTTCTGTAAGAAGGAAATGGTGTTTGATGGTTTTCTGAGTTCCCTAGTAAGAAAAGGACCTGTAGTCTAAACCTGGGCCTGCGTGGGGAATTGATATGTAGGTCTTTTTCCCAAGACAAGTCTTTTCCAAGAGACCTCATCCCTTAAAGAATGTCAAAGAACCCTCCTGTGTGTCTGGACCTGGTCAAGGTCAGGCCTTCAAGGAGTTTATGGACTCTTCTGGTGGATTTCTCTCTCTCTCTCCCTTTTTATTTTTATTATTCATTCATTCATTTATTTATTTATTTATTTGAGACAGGATCTTGCTCTGCCGCCCAGGCTGGAATACAGTGGCTCGATCTTGGCTCACTGCAACCTCTGCCTCCCAGATTCAAACAATTTTCTGCCTCAGCCTCCCGAGTAGCTAGGATGATAGGTATGCACTACCACAGCCAGCTAATTTTTGTATTTTTAGTAGAGACAGGGCTTCACCATGTTGGCCAGGCTGGTCTCAAACTCCCAGCCTCAGGTGATCTACCTGCCTTGACCTCGAAAGTGCTGGGATAACAGGTGTGAGCCACCATGCCGGGTCTCTTCTGGTGGTTTTCAAGTGGGACTCTGAGCAAGCATTAGGGGGGTCACTGCAGGCCCAGCAGTGTACCTCCACTTTATTCACTGCTGTATTAGGGAGTCTTTGTGAGATCTTCTATTAAAGAAAATAATCAGTGAATTCTTTTTCTTTTTATAATTTTTAACCCTCATGTCTGAAAACAATGAGAACCTTATAAGAATGTATACCGTGCAGATGGGTGCTGTGGCTCACTCCCAGAATCCCAGCACTTTGGGAGACCAAGGTGAACAGATCACTTGAGCTCAAGAGCTAGCGACAAACCTGGGAAGTATAGTGAAACCCCATCTCTACAGAAAATACAAATAGTTAGCCAGCTGGGTGCAGTGGCTCGCTCCTGTAATCCCAGCACTTTGGGAGGCTGAGGCAGGCGGATCATGAGGTCACATGTTCAAGACCAGCCTGGCCAACATGGTGAAGCCCTATCTCTATTAAAAATATACACACACAAAAAAAAAATAGCTAGGCATGGTGCCACACAACTGTAATCCCATCTACTCAGGAAGCTGAGGCAGGAGAATCGCTTGAACCTGGGAGATGGAGATTGCAGTGAGCTGAAATTATGCCACTGCACTCCAGCCTGGGCAACAGAGCATGACTCCATCTCAAAAAAAAAAAAAGAAAGAAAAAGAAAAAAAAAGAAAAGAAAAAAAATTAGTGGAATGTGCCAGAGTGTGCCTGTCTGTAGTCCCAGCTACTTGGGAGGCTGAGTTGGGAGTATTGGCTTGAATCCAGGAGGTGGAGGTTGCAGTGAGAGCCGAGCTTGCACCACTGCACTCCAGCCTGGGTGACCAGAGTGAGACTGTCTCAAAAAAAAAAAAAAAAAAGTAAGAGGGGAAGAACAGCAAGAGAGAAGAGAAGGAGAGGTACAGGTTCACACTGTGCTTGGGAAAGCAGGAGAGTAGAGGCATAGATGTGTGTCCTAGTTCCTCCGATGGTCTCAGTTTCTACACATAGCATAGGCATCACACCCTGGCTTGCTGTGTGTGATTCTGATGTTTCTAAACATACGTTTCAAATATACACATTATACAAACACCCTTTATCTGATGTTCAACCAGAGAAACAGCGATGCGTTTTAGTACTGGAGGGAAAACTGTTTGACTCACTCTGCGTTCATCTCCAAGATGGTGCCTCTGTTAAGAGATCTTGAAGAGCATCTTTGACTCTGTGATTTTGGCCTTCAGCCTGGATTCTAGACTCACCCTCAGCTGTGATGCATCACCCCCGCAGAATTACATGCCACATTGTCTTGTGTCAGAGAGTAAGACCTAAAACGATGCTCAGAAAGAAGGCCCTATGAAGCTAGATGAGACAGGGGTTGCTGTGTGGAGGGGGTGGATTTGAATCAGGTCTTGAACTTGGACATAAAATGGAAGAGAGAAATTCCAGCCAAGGGGATCAGTAGGCACACAGTCCTGTACAGAAATGTATATGCAAGAAGAACTGTAAGCAATGAGTTGGACCTGAGATGTGATCTTTGTGTTGACACAAGAAGCCAGGACCATGTTTCCATAACCTGGAATGGGGGACCAGCCAGTTCAGCTGGCAAGAGCTTCTGCCATGAGATAACACTGAACTACATCATGAAAAAGTTATTTTCCTTTCCTTTTTTTTTTGAGACAGAGTCTTACTCTTGTTGCCCAGGCTGGAGTGCAATGGTACGATCTCGGGTCACCAAAACCTCTCCCTCCCAGGTTCAAGTGATTTTCCTGCCTCAGCCTCCCGAGTAGCTGGGATTATAGGCGCCCGCCATACCCAGCTAATTTTGTATTTTTAGTAGAGATGGGTTTCTCCATATTGGTCAGGCTGGTCTTGAACTCCTGACATCAAGTGATCCACCTGCCTCGGCCTCCCAGAGTGCTGGGATTACAGACATGAGCCACCACACCTGGCCCTTTCCTTTTATTTTTTTTCCAATCCTGATGATGATGCCGAGGAGAAAGGCTCAGCTGGGTGCTAAGACATTGTTAACACCTAACACTTACTGATCTCCCTTTTAACAGAGAGATCAGGGCTCCAGATAGGACCTTCAGCAGACAACATCTTTCCACAATTAATAAAAGAATACAGCCTTCACTCTTTCCATTTAGGCAGGCAAGGCCAATAGCTGATGAACTGCAGTTTTCTTTTAAACAAACGTGAATACAAATGCAAACTGATTGCTTTTTAATCTTAAGTCTATAAACTTTAGTTTGGTAAGGCGGGTGGGCAAAGTGGATGAGAATTGATGGCTGGGAGAAGACTAGAATAGGGACTCTGTAGTACATTCTTTCTTTTTTTTGATATGGAGTCTCACTCTGTTACCAAGCTGGAGTGCAGTGCCGCAATCTTGGCTCATTGCAACCTCCGCCTCCCAGATTCAAGCGATTCCCCTGCCTCAGCCTCCTGAGTAGCTGGACCACAGGCGTGTACCACCATGCCCAGCTAATTTTTGTGTTTTTAGTAGAGATGGGGTTACACCATGCTGGCCAGGATGGTCTCAATCTCTTGACCTTGTGATCCACCCGCCTCGGCCTCCCAAAGTGCTGGGATTACAGGCGTGAGCCTGTACCCAGCCCATAGTACATTCTTACAGGGAAGCAAGGTCTGATGTTTCCCTGGAAATTACTGGCTGCAAAATAACTCTTTGGAAGACTGGCTCAGGCCAATATTATTTAAAAGTCTCCGGCTAGAGAGGGAGTCTTTCCTTCAACAAGGTGGCATGGAGCTTGTCACTCCCCACCCTTTTCCTCAGACCACAGTTCCAGTGGAGGAACAGAGCGTGACCTCTCCCTTCCAACCACTGCTTCATTGGTCCTGGGTACCTTGGCATAGAGGTGATCCACCCTGGGCTTCAAGCAGCTGTTGGCCTGGGTGGCACCATGTTTAGTATGTTCCCACAGCACAAATCCCACCCTGATGCCAGGTGTTCCCCTCTCTCCACCACAGGTCGGCCATCACCATATTCCCCCAGAGGACAGATGGCAAGCATGACTTCCGAGTCTGGAACTCCCAGCTCATCCGCTACGCTGGCTACAAGCAGCCCGATGGCTCCACCCTGGGGGACCCAGCCAACGTGCAGTTCACAGAGGTGCGAGCATTTCTGCCCTCTACCCTGCCCCATCTTGGGCTCTTATGTCCCCAGACTTTTACTCACAGGCTTTTTTGGGTTTAATACTATCATCACAGGGAGAGCCACCAATGGGCTAGTTTACTCTTCTCCAAACCTATTTCTCCATCAGGCTGTTCCCCATTCTAGTTCTTTTACAGCTGGTCATTTGGTCACGTTCATGCCATTAACTCACTCAGCCCTCCTGATGGGAACTGTTGTCCCATGTCACAGATGGGTAGACTGAGTCTCACCAAGGCCAAGTGAGTCATTCAAGACTGCTAAATGAGTAGAGAAGAAAAGCTAGAACTACAGTCTAAATCTCTTGCCTCTCACCAGGAAGGTAAGAGCCAAGAAATGGAAGACATATCTGGTATCCACTTTTTCTGAGTTAGGAGATATGTCAGTTTCATATCATTCATTCATTCATTCATTTGTTGATACAACAACGTGAGCCACCAAACCCTTTGAGTATGCTTGACTTTGCCTGTCACCAGCATCACCACAGTTACTGGTAGCCCAAGTCCATTCATAAAAGCCACCAGGAAAGTGACTACCACCATCTCCCTGCCCTGAGTTCCTTCTGGGTGGTAGTGCGGGCGGGTAGCACGGGTAAAGCATGGTAGCTTATGGACCACACCCACATGACAGCACAGGCACATCTCGTGTTTAGAATGATCTCAGGCACACAGGCCTGCTGCCACCTTTTTAAAAATCACCTAACTCGTGCCCCGCTGCATTTCACGATTGTCCTTTGCTCAAGCCCATCCCCGGTGGTACCTCCTCGAAGATGCAGTTGGCAAGGCTAAGGGCTGCTCCACTCCCTCCTGGCTGCTGGCTTCATTTGCATGTGGTTTTTCTTATGAAAATGTTATTCTTATGAGGAGGGGGCTGTAACCAGGGCAACCAGGAGCTGCACCTGTGCCGTTTTAGAGGCAGGCAGACTCAGACTCCCTGCTCCACTTGGCTGAGCTCTAACTGTGTACTTGGCTGACCTTGTCCTCGTGGTCACAAGAACATAAACACCCCAACCTCTTCCTTTGGCTCTATCTCTAGAAACCTTGCTGAGCGGGACGTATTCTCCTGTGCCATGATTTAGTGCTTCCTCTTTTTACTAAGCACAAAGAGTCGTTCCAAACCTAACCATGTAATTTTACCTTTTGAAACGCTCTAATCCTACCCTGTCTAATACGGACACATGTGGCTGTTGATCACTTGAAATGTGACTGGTCCCAGTTGAGATGTGCCTTAAAAGAAAATATACACTGGATCTCGAAGACCAGGTCCAAAAAAGAGAGGAAAAGAACTCATTGATCATTTTTAGTGTTGAAACAGTAATAATGTGGATACATTAGGGTAATATATTTATTAACAAGTTAATTGATTCACTGGATTAATAAGCATATTTTAAATTTTAATGTTAAATATATGGCTTCAATATACTCATTAATTATTAATAAATTAAAATTGATATTAATGTATTATTTGACATATTATTGGATTAATAAGTGTGTTACATATTTAATTTTAATGTCAAATATATAATTTGAATCTATTGATAGTAATATTTTAAGATACTATTAATAAATTAATATTAATATCAAGGACATTGTGGAACTTTATTTAAGATGATATATTAGTAAAACCATTTTCTCCCATGATTTGAAGAAGACTAGCAAAAAAAGAGATAAAGTCAAAATGATTTTCACCTGTTGTTTTTTTCTAACGTGGCTTCAAGAAAATTTTAATTACTTAGGTGGCTTGCATTTTATTTTTATTGGACAGTCACTCTAACAAATGCATTATATACAATAACTCTAATACAGCTGCCTTCATCAGATTCAGCAGGTTTTCTTTGTATCTTACAATACCTATTATTAATGCAAACACTGAGCTGGCAGCCTGCAGATGCACTTGTTAGTCAGATTCAGCCCTTGCCCTCTGGGAATTTCCAGGGAAAACCTGGAAAACAAAGCTCAGTGCTAGAGGAAGGGTTTCCCCCTGTCCTGTGGGCCCATGAGAAGTCAGTGCTAGTTACTAGGTTAGTGCAAAAGTAATTGTGGTTTTTGCTGTTAAAAGTAATGGCAAAAACCATAATTACTTTTGTACCAAGCTAATACATGGTGATATCAGGGAGAACTTTATAAAGGAGGTGACGTGGCCAAGAGCCTCCAGAGAAAATGTCTCCTGAGGGCTTGCATTTAGACCTCTATCCACCCCACTCCCGCTTCCTACATAAGGGTCGTGTTTGTAGGGTCTGGGGTACAGTGGCATTACCTGGCCTGGTCTGCTTGCAGATTTGCATACAGCAGGGCTGGAAACCCCCGAGAGGCCGCTTCGATGTCCTCCCGCTCCTGCTTCAGGCCAACGGCAATGACCCCGAGCTCTTCCAGATTCCTCCAGAGCTGGTGTTGGAAGTTCCCATCAGGCACCCCAAGTAAGAGGGATGGGCAAGGGGTGAGAGAGGGTGAGTGGGTTTGCCCAGTGCCCCTCTGTGCCCAGCCCCATCACCCCGGGTTTCTTTCTAGCCCAGACAGAAGCTGAAAGGGGAAAGGGCGACTTGGTGTTTGTCCTCACTGTGGGCTTGGGCAGAATGGGTTCCCTCAAGACGCAAAAAGTCCTCTTTGACCAGCCTGGGGACCACTACCTTTTCTGAATCATCTCACTCCTGAGCCTTCAACAAGAACATGCCTTTTTTCCAGCCCTAAGTGTTGAAAGAGCAGAAACACCATACTGTCTGTTGTGAGCACACTTTTTCTTTCTTTTTTTTTTTTTTTTTTGAGATAGGGTCTGCTGCTTTTGCCCAGGCTGGAATGCAGTGGCACAAACATGACTCATTGCAGCCTCGACTTGCTGGGCTCAAGTGCTCCTCCCACCTCAGCCCCTCCAAGTCGCTGTGATTACAGCCACACACCACCATGCTTGGCTAATTTTTGTAGAGATGAGGTTTTGCCATGTTATCCAGGCTGGTCTTGAACTCCTGAGCTCAAGTAATCCTCCCGCTTCAGCCTCCCAAAGCGCTGGATGAGCCTGGCCCACATTTTCAATTGAGCCTGGGCCACTTCACCTGGCCCACATTTTCAATTGAGAGAACTGTTTAAAACTTTATAGGAGCTGATGATTGAGTCCTATGGAGTTTTAAACAGTTTTCTCAATTGGAATGCAAATCAAAACTACAATGAAATAGCATCTCACCTCAGTTACAATGGCTTATCAAAAAGACAGGCAATAACAAATTCTGAAGAAGAGCTGGAGAAAAAGGAACCCTTGCCCACTGTTGGTGGGAATGTAAATTAGTATACCCACTATGGAGAACAGTTTGGAGTTCCTCAAAAATGAGAAAGGGAGCTACCATATGATCCAGCAATCCCACTGCTGGGTATATACCCAAGAGAAAGGAAACCAGTATATCTAAGAGGTATCTGCACTCCTGTGTTTGTTGTAAGACTGTTTACAATAGCTGCAACACTAAGGAAGCAATTTAAGTGTCCATCAACAGACGTCTAGATAAAGAAAATGTGGTACAGATACACAATGAAGTACTATTCAGCCATAAAAAAAGGACGAGATCTGGTCATTTGCAACAACATGGATGGAACTGGAGATCATTATGTGAAGTGAAATAAGGCAGGCAGAGGAAGACAAACATCACATGTTCTTCTTACTTATTTGTGGGATCTAAAAATCAAAACAATAGAACTCATGGATGTAAAAGGTAGAAGGATGGTTACCAGAGGCTGGGAAGGAGTAGTGGAGGGGCTGAGGGGAAGACGGGGACCGGACCGTTAAGATGTACAAAAAAATAGAGACTGGGCATGGTGGCTCACACCTGTAATTCCAGCACTTTGGGAGGCCGAGGCAGGAGGATCACCTGAGGTCAGGAGTGTGAGGTCAACATGTCAAAAACCCCATCTCTACTGAAAATACAAAAATACCTTGGGCATGGTGGCATGTGCCTATAATCCCAGCTATTTGGGAGGCTGAGACAGGAGAATTGCTTGAACCTGGGAAGCGGATGTTGCAGTGAGTCCAGATTGTGCCACTGCCCTCCAGCCTGGGCTACAGACTCCATATCAAAAAAAAAAAAAAAAAATTGAAAGAATGAATACAACCTATTGTTTGAAAGCACAACAGGGTGACTATAGTTAATAATAACGTAATTGTGCATTTTTTTAAAAAGAGTGTAATTGGATTATTTGTAACTCAAAGGATAACTGCTTGAGGGGATGGATACCCCATTCTCCACGATGTGCTTGTTTTCCAAGATGTACTTATTTCACATTGCATGCCTGTATCAAAACATCTCATCTACCCCATAAACATGCCTACTATGTATTCATAAAAATTAAAAATAATGACTAAAAAACTCTACAGGACCTGGTGAGGATCAAGTTCAAAAGGGATTTGGAGTCATGAAGTTGCTGCAAGATCTCAGGCCAGCAACACAAACAGCATTTGCCCTTTGAGGGTGAGGGACATCTACTGTGAGTCAGTAGACTCAAACCTAGGATTGAATAAAATCAAGTGGGCTTACTCACACACTCAATAATAATCAAGATAAATATAAGAATGCAATATTTTAAAAATCAAAATTAATGTTTTATTTGTCTAATTGTTGTATAATAATTATATATATTCTTGAGATATATAATGATGTCTTAATACATGTAATGTATAGTGATCGGGTCAGTGTAATCAACACACTGATTGTCTCAAACACTTATCTTTTCTATTGGAAACATTCAATGTCCTTTCTTCTAGCTGTTTGAAAATGTATATTAATGTTAACTATAGTTGTCCTACAGTGGTGTAGAACACTCGAACTTATTCCTGTCTAGCTGTAATTTTGTATCTTTTAACAAATTGCTTCCCATTCCCTCTTCTCCCCACCCTACCCAGTCTCCAGCATCCTCTGTTCTGCTTTTTACTTCTACGAGATCAACATTTTTTTAGCTTCCACCAATGAGTGAGACTATTCAGTGTTTAACTGAAATATTAAACACTGAATATTCAATGTTTCTGGTTCATTACACTTAACATACTGTCCTCCAGTTCTGTCCAAGCTGCTGTGAGTACCATGGTTTCATTCTTTTTTATAGCTGAACGATATTCCAGTGTAGATATAGATATAATTAATTTGGAGTTCATGACTCCAAATTTCTTTTGAACTTGAACCACACCAGACCTGGTAGAGTTGTTTTTTTTTTTAATTATTACTTTTAATTTTTGTGGGTACATAGTAGGTGTATATATTTATGGGGTACATGAGATGTTTTGATATAAGTGTGCAATGTGAAATAAGCACATCATGGAGAATGGGGTATCCATCTTCTCAAACATTTATCCTTTGAGGTACAGACAATCAAATTACACTCTTTAAGTTACTTTAAAACATACAATTACATTATAGACTATAGTCAATATATATAGTATTTATATATATAGGGGTGTGTGTGTGTGTGTGTGTGTGTGTGTGTGTGTGTAAATCACACATTTTCTTTATCCATTCATCTGTTGTTAGACACCTAGGTTGGTTCCATATCTTGGCTACTGTGAATAGTGCTGCAATAAACATGGGAGTGTACATATCACTTTTACGTGCTGATTTCCTTTCCTTTTATTTTTTTCTTTTTTTTTTTTTTTTTTTTTTGAGACAGTCTCACTGTGTTGCCCAGGCTAGAGTGCAGTAGCACCATCTTGGCTCACTGCAACCTCTGCCTCCTGGGTTCAAGCCATTCTCCTGTGTCAGCCTCCCAAGTAGCTGGGACTACAGGCACACACCACCAGGCCCAGCTGATTTTTTTGTATTTTTAGTAGAGACAGAGTTTCACCGTGTTGGTCAGGCTGGTCTCAAATCCCTGACTGCGAATGACCTGCCTGCCTTGGCCTCCCAAAATGCTGGGATTACAGGTGTGAGCCATTGCGCCTGGCCTGGTTTCCTTTCCTTTGGATAAGTGCTCACTGGTGGGATTGCTGGATCTCGTGATAGTTCTATTTGCAGTTTTTTGAGGAACTGCCATACAGTTCTGCATACTCCTGTACTAGCCTATAGTCCCTCCAACAGTGGGAATAGGAGTTCCCTTTTCTCTGCAACCTTGCCAGCATTTGTTATTTTTTGTCTTTTTATAATTGGCATCCTAGCTGGGATGTGACGTTATCTCATTGTGGGTTTCATTTGCATATCCCTGATGATGAGTGATGTGGAGCATTTGTTCCTGTATTTGTTGGTTACCTGCCTTCGGAGAAATGTCTGTTTGGAGCAAGTGCCCATTTTTTAATCCAATTGTTTGGGTGTTTTGCTTCTGAAATGTTTGAGTTCCTTGTATTTTTCTAGATATTCATCCCTTGGTGGATGAACGGTTTTCAAGTATTTTCTCCCATTCTCTAGGTTGTCTTTTCACTCTGTTGCTCATTTATTTGCTGTGCAGAACTTTTTTCGTTTAACATAATCCTGTGTGTTTATTTTTGCTTGTGTTGTCTGTGTTTTTGAGGTCGTATTCATAAAATCTTTTCCCAGACCAATATCCTGAAGCATTTCCCTGATGTTTTCTTCTAGGAGTTTTATAGTTTCTGGTCTCAAAAAGTTAATATTTCTGAAAAACAACACATGATGAACAGTGTTTCAACATTTTCAATAAAGATAGAATCCTGCTCAGGACTTAGAGTGAGATGAACGAGGTCTCATACAAGCGTAGGGTGGAATTCTACATTATTGTTCGTATAGATACATACATTTTGATTTTTTTAAATGTTGCATTACTTTCAAATATTGCATAAATAAATAATAGCATGAATCTTAATTCTTGGGTTTTTATTAGGTTAATGCAAAAGTAATTGTGGTTTTGCTGTAACTTTTAATGGGAAAAGTAAATTTAAGAGGGGAAACCATTAGGTGGATGCAAAGGTAATTGCAAAAACCGCAGCTATTTTTGCACCAAAATTTAATTGGCTTCCCCCAATTAAATTTTACACCCAAGGATAGTGCCACACCTGCCTCACCCTAGTCCCGGCCTTGGAGAGGAGGCAGGTGTCCCGAGGATCCTGACACTGCCTGTTATGTGGGAACTCACCGAGTTCCTTGTAACCTGCATTTATTCACTCATGTATTGGACAATCCAATACAATTTACTGTTCCCCATGCAGGCCAGACATTGTGCTAGCTTTGGGGGCTGACTCAACCCCTGCCTTCATGGTGCTTATGATCTCAAGGAAGAGAAGCGCTTACATGCATAGTTACTCAAATACCACTTGATTTTAATAAAGTGCTGCAGAAGAAATGTATCGTGCCTAGGATGAAATCATCTGACCCAGCTGGGCCTCAGGAAAGGCTTTTCAGAATAAGCCTCATGTTAGCTGAAAATTAAAGTATGAGTAAGAGCTGGAAGCACAGAAGGAAGGGAGAAGATTTCAGGAAGAAGGTGCTGCCTGTGCAAAGGCCCTGAGGTAGGAAGGTGCTCAGATGGGGAACGGGGAGAGAGGTCCCCACACTTTCTCTTGGACTCACTTTCAGGGTGGGTTTGGGAGAGAAACGGCAGCCCAAGGCAGTGGTTTCCAGGACTGGATATCCATCCAAAGCACCTGAGAAATATGTTAAAAATGTACATTCTCAGGCCCCAGCTGCAGAATCTGTGATTCCACCAATCTGAAGCAGGGCCCAGGAGTCATATTCTGACCTTGTCAGTCCGAATCAGTCCCTGGCATCTCAGCATCTCTAGATTCAAACTGTCCTGCCCGTGAGACACCTGCTCCAGGTGAGCTGGGTCCTGTTGCTCCTTGCAGGTTTGAGTGGTTCAAGGACCTGGGGCTGAAGTGGTACGGCCTCCCCGCCGTGTCCAACATGCTCCTGGAGATTGGCGGCCTGGAGTTCAGCGCCTGTCCCTTCAGTGGCTGGTACATGGGCACAGAGATTGGTGTCCGCGACTACTGTGACAACTCCCGCTACAATATCCTGGAGGTAAGGACCCTCTCTGGTCACCACAAGGGAAAAGCACACCACAGAGGCCACTGTCTCAGCAGTCCCCTTCCCCATGGCTGGGCTTCGTAGCTTGGAAGCCTGAAGGGGTTAGAATAGAATTGTAATCCCAGAGAAGCCCCTGGAAACACTGGGGACATCTGTGTCTTTAACAACAATGAAAGTAACAGCTTAGCCGAGCGTGATGGCGGGCTACTCAGAGACTGAGGCAGGAGAATCGCCTCGACCTGAGATCATACGACTGCACTCCAGCCTGGGTGGCAGAGCGAGACTCAGAGAGAGAGAGAGAGAGAAGGGAGGGAGGGAGACAGGAAGAGAGAGAGAAGGAAAGAAAGAAAGAGAGAGAGGGGGAGGGAGGGAAAGAGAGAGAAAAAAGGAAAGGAGAAACAAAGAAAACAGCAAACACACACAGCACATAGCACATAGTACGTGCTAACACCATTCAAAGAACTGTTTCTGCGTTCCATTCTCATTTAATCCTCACCTGAACCTTGAGGTATGAGAATCCCCCTTCCACAGATGACAAGCTCAAGGTCACACGGCCAGCGGGCAGCAGGGCTGGGACGTGTCTGGTTTGACTTTATGGTCCAAGTTCATTACCACTCCACTCCACTGCCACTCGGTCTTAAATCTTGTTAGAAGAGCTTGAGGATGACCGACAAACTCGGGACATATTTAGTCTCTTTTCTAAAAAACAAGCGAGGAGGGTTGGCAGTGGTTCCCCACTCTAAGCATTTCTCGGCGGAGGGTCTGATTCCCTCCCGGGCTGAGTCATCCGTATCCACTAAAAAGTGCTGGAGCGGTGCTTCCTGAAGCCCAGCTTTGGTGAAAGCATCATGATTGCTGTGTTTTTGTCAGCAAATGTCTCTAACTACACTCTGCTGCTGTTGGATTTGTTTCCAAAGAGGGCACTGAGAAACAGAGAAGTTCAGTGCTGGGCCTGTGTCACACAGGAGGCAAGACCTGGAACCAAGATTAGAACCCAGAACCGAGCATTAGGTTCGTGTTATTAAAAAGCCACTGGTGTCACTGTGGAAAATAGATGCCAGGGATCCTCAGCTTGGATCACCACACAATGGCAGGGTACCTGGGGGCTTCGTGATGCCCGGGTCCCACTCATTGGGGTTCTGATGTCATGGGTCTGGGGTGGGCTCTGGGCGTCTGCATTTTGCAAAGTTCCTCAGGAGATTCTTCTGAACAGCCACTGATGCATGCAAACTTCTTTATTCTTTCTTTCTTTTTTTCTTTTTTTTTTTTGGTTGGGGGGATGGAGTCTCACTCTGTCACCCAGGTTTGAATGCAGTGGTGCGATCTTGGCTCACTGCAACCTCCACCTCCTGGATTTAAGCAATTCTTCTGCCCCAGCCTCCCAAGTAGCTGGGACTACAGGTACATGCACCACATCTGTCTATTTTTTTTTTATTATTGTTTTTAGTAGAGATAGGGTTTCACCATGTTGGCTAGGCTGATCTTGAACTCCTGACCTCAGCTGATCCACCCACCTTGACCTCCCAAAGTGCTGGGATTACAGGGGTGAGCCACCACGCCCAGCCTAAACAGTGACTAATACGTGCAAACTTCTGTCAGGAAAAAAAAAAAAAAAAAAAAAAAAAACGTTGCAGGCAGTTTTCATAGAGGTAGCTCAAGTTGCATTTGGGGATTATTTTTTAAGCAGTTTTTTTTTCCTGCAATTAATTTCTATTCTTTTAACCAAAATAATGTTGTAGAATTAACAGTAGCAGCATGACTGGCTATACACACGTTCCTCTCTCATGCACTGACTCCAGTTGTGTGTGTATTCATGGAAAGTGCATCAAATGTCTTACTTCCCGCAAATGTGTCGCTGAGAGCGAACCCAAGCGGAACCTAATGCCTCAGCCTCAAAGAGTGGGTTAGTAAGTCTGCTCTCTGATCTCTGCTTACATTTCAGTTGCAAAAAATAGTCTCCGAGTAACTGAAATGAGCCTCTCTCCCACCCAACCCTCCAATTCCACCTACCATTATGTAGAAACATTGGCAGCTGGGTCTGGGAGCAGTTTACCCAAACCCAAGAAATTGCTTCATTCCAGCCCCATAATGAGACCTGGGTTCCCTCCAGTGACTAGTATTGACAGCAGAAGTGTAAAGCAGGCTTTAATTAATGCATTGCTATTGGATCTTCCCTGCTCCTGACACCAGCCCCTGCTTCTGCCTTAGCTGTAACATGCATGTCATGAGTTCCTTTTTTTTTTTTTTTTGCAAGTAATTTTGCCAAAGGCTTCAGCTGCTTGGAGAGCAGCTCTGAGGTCCTGTACATTAGCCATCTCCCCGGGCTCCAACTCTGAGACTAGCTGCTTCTGTGGATGGTGGACAAGTCGAGGCACCCCTCTGAGCCTCAGTTTTCTTATCTGTCAGATGGAGTCTGGCAGGGGCCTCATGAGCTCAAAACACAAACGGCCTAAATGATAAGTTGTGACGTCTCTGCAGGTAGAGTAGGGTGGATGAAGAGCTTTTCCCACTAGAAAGCAGGTGATGCACTCACAGATCTAGAGCTCTGTTAAAATGCTCCAGAGGCCAGGCGTGGTGGCTCACACCTGTAATCCCAGCACTTTGGGAGGCTGACCTGAGGCAGGCAGATCACCTGAGGTCAGGAGTTCAAGACCATCCTGGCCAACATGTTGAAACCCTGTCTCTACTAAAAATAAAAAATAAAAAAAAAAAAAATAGCCAGCCATGGTGGCAGGCACCTGTAGTCCCAGCTACTCAGGAGGCTGAGGCAGGAGAATTGCTTGAACCCAGGAAGGGGAGGTTGCAGTGAGCCAAGACTGTACCACTGCACTACAGCCTGGACAGTAGAGTGAGGCTCCATTTAAAAAAAAGAAAAAAGAAATTCTTTCATGTCACTAGCCCTGTCCCTCTTCCATCTGAAATCCAGAGATACTCCAGCCTGCAAATCAGTGTTTCCTTCTTCTTTCAGGAAGTGGCCAAAAAGATGAACTTAGATATGAGGAAGACATCCTCCCTGTGGAAGGACCAGGCACTGGTGGAGATCAATATCGCAGTTCTCTACAGCTTCCAGGTAACACCAAGACCTGCACCACCAGGGGCAAGCCTCAAATGGGAGCTCAAACCTTTCAGAGCCTTGGTGCAGAGGGTCAAGAGATCTCACTGCCAGACACCACCCTTGGGGGGATTGTGTCCATGAGCATGGTCTATATTCCATCCTGCATACCCTCCTCTCCAGTGTGGACCTTGTGGGGAGACCACTTGATGAAGAGATGAACAGATGTTGGCAGGGGGAGGGTGAGTGTTCTGTCTTGTTGCTTTGAGTTCCTTAGAATTCAAACAAGAGGCATTCTCTCTGTCTTGTCATCTCTTAGGGCCTCAGAGTATCACATAACAGAGAAAATACTCTTCAACATCTTCAGAAACATACAGACTCCTAAATGCATGAGGCTGTGCTAAATGGCATTATAGCAGAATGGCTGGAAAATGTATCAGCTAAGTCACAACACTTTTTTGACACAGACTTTCACTCTTGTCACCCAGACCGGAGAGCAGTGGCATGATCTTGGCTGACTGCAACCTCTGCCTCCCAGGTTCAAGCAATTCTCCTGCCTCAGCCTCCTGAGTATCTGGGATTACAGGTGCCTGCCACCATGCCCAGCTAATTTTTGTATTTTTAGTACAGACGGGGTTTCAATCTGTTGGCCAGGCTGGTCTTGAACTCCTGACTTTGGGTGATCCACCAGCCTCAGACTCCCAAATTGCTGAGATTACAGACGTGAACCACCCCCGGCCACCACAACACTTTTGAGAGCCAGAGGGGGACTCTAGTAGTAACTATGCCAGGACAATGGGCATCAAATAGGATTCCTCTGGGCCAACCAGGAGACCTGGAGAATAGAAGTTGCTGTCTGTAATAGGGACCATCACTATCTTCTGGGGTCTTCCAGTCTGGACAGCTAGACCCCCATAGATGCACGTGAGAGGCACACACAGCCAGCAGAATGAAGGTGTTAAATCTAGCTGTGGATGGATAGGAACAGAAGCCATAGGTCCCGATGTCAGATGCAGATGGAGTGGGTGCACTGAGGAATGTCAAAGGGAAGGGAAAAGTTGAGACAGAGCAAGAGGGAAAGTGGCCACCTCCCTTCTCTCTTAACCATAGAGAATGAGGTTTCAGGAGCATGGCATATGGGCTGATGAACTGGTATGAAGTCTGTCAAGCCAGATACCATAGGGATGTGAGTTAGATGAATAATGAAAACTAGCTGGGCACAGTAGCTCACCCCTGTAATCCTACCACTTTGGGAGGCTGAGGTGGGCAGATCACCTGAGGTCAGGAGTTCGAGACTAGCCTGGCCAACAGGGTGAAACCCCGTCTCTACTAAAAATACAAAATTAGCCAGGCATAGTGGTGCATGCCTGTAATCTCAGCTACTCAGAAGTATGAGGCAGGAGAATCACTTGAACTTGGGAGGTGGAGGTCGCAGTGAGCTGAGATCAGGCCACTACACTCCAGCCTGGGTGACAAGAGCAAGACTCCATCTCAAAAAAAAAAAAAAAAAGCTGAATAATGAAAACAGAAAAGTGCAGGAAGGGGGCGAGGTGGGCAGAGGGAAAAAACATTGCTTGGACAAGATGTGAGTTCAAACATAGCAGGCCCAGGGCCAGCTTTCGCTGACAGCCAGTCCACCCGCACCCGTCTCAGCTGTGAGGGACTTGTTTTATTTCTTAATCAACTCATCTTTATTACTTAAAAGTGTGCATTTTAAGATTTCATATCACCACTCTAAATGGAAAGCCAGCACTGTTTGCCGTAAATATAAGGTAATTGTAATACTAAATACATAACCAAGCAAACACCAGGAGAACAAAACAAAATGGAGCAATCGTAGCTAGATACTGCCTCTTATTTACAAAAAGTCGGGGGGCAGTGGATGCAGTGGCTCATGCCTGTAATCCCAACACTTTGAGAGGCCAAGACAGGTGGATCACTTGAGGCCAGGAGTTTGAGACCAACCTGGGCAACATAGTGAGACCCTGCCTCTGTAATAAATAACGAGTAAAAAAAGAAGATATACAAATGATCAGCAAACATGAAAAAAATGCTCAGCATCCCTAATTATCAGGAAAATGCAAATCAAAACTGCAATGTGATACCACCATACTCCTGTAAGAATGGCCATAAACAAAAAATAATAGATGTGGATGTGGATGCAGCGAAAAGGGAACACTCCTACACTGCTGGTGGGAATGGAAACTAGCACAATGACTACAGAGAACAATGTGGGGATTCCTTAAAGAACTAAAAGTAGGCCAGGCGCAGTGGCTCACACCTGTAATCCCAGTACTTTGGGAGGCTGAGGCGGGTGGATCATTTGAGATCAGGAGTTCAAGACCAGCCTGGCCAACATAGTGAAGACTGTTTCTACTAAAAATACAAAACGTAGCCAGGCAGTCGTCCATGTACCTGCAAATCCAGCTACTTGGGAGGCCGAGGCAGGACAATCGCTTGAGCCTGGAAGGCAGAGGTTGTGATGAGCTGAGATTGTGACACTACACTACAATCTGGGTGACAGAATGAGACCCTGTCTAAAAAAAAAAGCAAAAAACTAAAAGTAGAACTACCTTTGATCCAGCAATCCCACTACTGGGTATTTATGCAGAGGAAAAGAAGTCATTAGACAGAAAAGATACCTGCACACACATTTATAGCAGCACAATTCCCAATTGCTAAAAATGTGGAACCAACCTAAATGCTCATCAGTCAACAAGTAAATAAACTGTGGTGTGTGTGTGTATATGTATGATTGACAAGAAAGTTGAGATATATATATATATATATATATATATATATATATATATGATGGAATTTATATATATATAATGCAATACTACTCAGCCGTAGAAAGGAATGAATTCATGGCATTCACAGCAACCTGATGGGATTGGAGACTATTATTCTAAGTCAAGTAACTCCGGAATGAAAAGCTAAAAATCGTATATTCTCACTCATAAGTGGGAGCTAAGCCATGAGGATGCAAAGGCATAAGAATGACACAGTGGCCTTTGGGGACTCAGGAGGAAACGTGGAAAGGGTGAGGGATAAAAGGCTACAAATCGGGTTCAGTGTGCGCTGCTCAGGTGATGGGTGAACCAAAACCTCACAAATCACCAAGCATGTAACCAAATAAATACCACCTGTTTCCCCAAAACCTATAAAGATTTAAAAATGTAAAAAGAAAGAAAAATGTGGGGGTTGGGACGGGAGAGGGGAAGATTGGCAAGATCCACACGCACGGCGTTAAAGACACCGTAGCACCAAACAAAGACTTTCTCCTGAGTCTGAGTAGAAGGACGGGATGAGAAACGCAAAGAGAATCATCGTTTCCCTTCACACTGCTCTAAACCGTCTCAGGGACCTCCCTTTGGGAAATGCTGCTCCGTGGGGAAGGGAGTCCTCACAATACCCCAGCTTCTCGTGCCTCCTGACCCCGTCCCCTCTCCTCCTGCAGAGCGACAAAGTGACCATTGTTGACCATCACTCCGCCACCGAGTCCTTCATTAAGCACATGGAGAATGAGTATCGCTCCCGGGGAGGCTGCCCTGCCGACTGGGTGTGGATCGTGCCCCCCATGTCCGGAAGCATCACCCCTGTGTTCCACCAGGAGATGCTCAACTACCGGCTCACCCCCTCCTTCGAATACCAGGTCCTGCCCTGTCCCTGACTCTTTTCATATTAAGTGTTCTGTGTCTGGTGGTCTGGTGTGTGTATCACATTTAGGGTCATTTCAACCCAGACTAGCGGTCTGAATGCTCGATAGCCACACGTGGCTGCTGGCTACCATATTGCACAGCACAGGTCTAGCTGAAAGAACAGGAGAGACTGTATGAGGCTGACATGATGGCTCACGCCTGTAATTCCAGTAATTTGGGAGGTTGAGATGGGAGGGTGACTTGAGGCCAGGAGTTTCAGATCAGCCTGGGCAATATAGTGAGACCCCAACTCTAAAAAAATTTTTTTTAATTAGCAGGTTGGGCATGGTGGCTCACATCTGTGATCCCAGCACTTGGGGAGGCCAAGGCGGGTGGATCACCTGAGTCAAGGGTTCGAGACCAGCCTGGCCAACATGGCGAAACCCCCTCTCTACTAAAAATATAAAAAATTAGCCTGGTGTATGCCTGTAGTCCCAGCTACTCAAGGGACCAAGGCAGGAGACTCACTTGAACCCAGAAAGTAGAGGTTGCAGTGAGCCAAGATCAAGCCACTGCACTCTAGCCCGGGCAACAGAGTGAGATGAGAAAGAGAAAGAGAAAATGAAGAAAAGGAAGGAAGGAAGGAAGGAAGGAGGGAGGGAGGGAGGGAGAGGGGAGAGAAAGAAAGAAAGCTAGCTGAGTGTGGTGGTACCCACCTGTAGTCCCAGCTGTTTGGGAGACCAAGATAAGAGGATCCCTTAAGCTAGGGAGGTCAGGGCTACAGTGAGCTATGATCACACCACTGCACTCCTAGCCTGGGCAACAGAGTGAGACCCCCATCTCAAGAGAGAGAGAGAGAGACAGAGAGGGAGAGAGAGAGAGGAAATGAGAATGAGTAGTCAGGGGTCACAAGAAGAGAGTTTGAAAGGGACTGGGGGCCTGAAGAGGAAGAGCTAGTAGGACACTGCCAAGGCCGGACCACCCACTGGGAAAGGACCCCCCACCACCACCACCCGCATCCCTACCTCCAAGGCAGTCACCACTGGGCAGAATTCTTCCCTTCAGGGGCCGAAGGTCAGGCAGCCGTAGCCCCAGGGGGTCCTGAGCATCTCCAGCAGGAGCCAGATGCCCTCACTGCAGTGACTGACCATAGCCCTCTCCTCTCTTCCCAGCCTGATCCCTGGAACACCCACGTCTGGAAAGGCACCAACGGGACCCCCACAAAGCGGCGAGCCATCGGCTTCAAGAAGCTGGCAGAGTAAGTTTCCTGCAGTGGGCTGGGTCAGGTGGATGTGCCCACAAACTCAGAGAGCTTAGAGGAGAGGACAGGGCTGGGCAGATGCCTGTGCCCTCTGACCTCTCTGTAAGAGAGGGCACATGCCAGGCTAATTTTTTATATTTTTAGTAGAGATGGGGCTTTGCCATGTTGGCCAGGCTGGTCTTGAACTCCTGACTCAGGTGATCCACTCTGCCTTGGCCTCCCAAAGTACTGGGATCACAGGTGTGAGTCATCTTCTCCAGCCCCTGTGCCTTCTTTATCTCTGAGTCTGATCTGTGAATGTGGTTTCAACTCTTCTTCTCAGCCTCGCTTTCCTCACCCCGGTTTCCTAAATTCTTGTCCTGGAGGCAGTGGTGTGTTGGCAAACCAGCCCTCCTAATAATAATAACAGTAATAGTAATACTTGATTTTTTTTTTTTTTTTGAGATGGAGTCTCTCTCTTGCCCAGGCTGGAGTACAATGGTGCAATCTCAGGCTCACTGTAACCTCCATCTCCCAGGTTGAAGTGACTCTCCTGCCTCAGCCTCCAGAGTAGCTGGGATTACAGGCGCGCACCACTATGCCTGGCTAATTTTTGTATTTTTGGTAGAGATGGGGTTTCACCATGTTGGCCAGGCTGGTCTCATACTCCTGACCTGGTGATCTACCCACCATGGCCTCCCAAAGTGCTGGGATTACAGACGTGAGCCACCATGCCCGGCCACCTTGATTTTAATATTTGCCAGTTTCCATAATGTAAATATTCTCACTATGACCGATTCCTTCTTTTTCTTTCTTTCTCTTTTTTCTTTTCTTTTCTCTCTTTCTTTCATTCTTTCTTTTTTCTTTTCTTTTCTCTCTCTTCCTTTCTTTCCTTCCTTCTTTCTTTTCTTTCTTCTCTCTCTCTCTTGTTCTTTCTTCTTTTCTTTCTTTTCTTTCTTCTTGGGTCTCACTCTGTTGCCCAGGCTAGTCTCGAACACCTGGCCTCAAGTGATCCTCCTTCCTCAGCCTCCCAAAGTGTTAGGATTACAGGTGTGAGCCACTGCACCTGGCCTAGGAAGTCACAGAACCCAGAGTAGAAAGGAGCTAGTTAGTCAGCTTCAGCACACTATTGCCTAGAGAGCACCCTCGTTCAGGGCTGACCCCTAATTTTACTCATTCATTCATTTACTCATTCATTCATTGATTCATTAGCTAGGTGTTGTGGCACACACCTGTAGTCCTAACTACTCAGATTCTATCAGGCACTGTGCAGGACTCCAGAGGTATCATAGCAAGCTAGACGAACACTGCCCCTGCTGTCAGGAAGCACACAGCCATTCCTTTGTCAGAGAATCAATAAATACAGTAAACATGGCCACTGCAAAAACTACCATTGAGGAATGGTTCCTGGAAATAATAATGGTTCACAGAGTTTGGGAGGTTGGGGAGGGCTTCCTACAGGAGGTGACAACTGAAAAAAGAATGAAATGAACAAAGTTTAAGCAAGGAGGGGAAGGAAGAGGGTTATGGCCTGAGGCTACCGAGAAGTGATTTTCCTGAAAAATTCCTGACTGCAGGGGACCAGCAGACAAGTAGGGCGGGTTAACTAAGTTGATTTAATGGGTATGGCAGCCTTCTGCCCCAAAAAAGGGAACCCCACTGATCCACTAAGTATAGACCACTGTTTGGAGCTTTTTTTCAGAAGACACTACTCTCTTTCCCCAGTTCCCTCAGGTCCAGAATTCTCTATGTATGATAACTAGTTGTACAGCAGGTGCCATCTAAGCCTTGGGCCCCAGAGGCAAGACACTGATCGGTCTTCAAGGGACTCAACCCCATGTCCTGGCTCCATTAATAGAACCCATGGAATCTCTCTCTCTCTCTCTCTCTCTCTCTCTCGCTCTCGCTCTCGCTCTCAGCTCTCGCTCTCTCTCGCTCTCTCCCACCTTCCACCCTAATCCCATCCCCCAGCCAACAAGAACACATCATCAGCCACCCTTTCCCTAACGGGACTGTCTCAGATATTCTCAGGGAGGGCAATCATTGGCTTCAGTTCAGCTACTGTCTCTGGGGAGGAAGGGGAGGGAGAAATCTCAAACATTAATTGCACTATTAAGTTTCGGGTAGTAACAATGGGAATTAATTATAGATGCATCTTTATGCTCAAATTATTCAAAGGGAACCCTCCAGGTACCTTTTATTTCTGTCTGTTTCTTCCCATTAGCTAAGTCTTCCTGCAGCGTGGGCCGTTTCCCTGATTCTAAAAAATAATGAACTTAACGCCACTAATCCCAGGTGGGGGGAAATTAGCAATGTGTCTGCACGGAGATTCCTACTTACAACAGGGAGGCTCATTCAGGAGTCAAGCCTGGGTATTCCTGAGCCTCGAGCCTGTCTGCTACATGCCCCCGGAACTCGCCCTGCCCAGTAGAGGGGAAGGAAGAGACACTGGTTTGGGCTTCTCTGTTTAGCTAGAAAGAGGCTGCATCTGATGTTCAGACTCCCCAGTGTATCCGTGGCAGCATCTTTTAAAATTCATAACTTTTATTTTCTTTTTTATAGAGACAAGGTCTCACTATGTTGATCAAGCTGGTTTCAAACCCTTGCCCTCAAGTGATCCTCCCGCCTCAGCCACCCAAAGTGCCAGGATCACAGGCATGAACCACTATGCCCATCCCATAACTTCTTTTGATAGATATTTATTTAGTGCCTATTGGGTATCAGGCTCTGTGCAAGACCCTAGACATGCTTTGCTGCATAAGCCAGACCTGGCCCTTCCCTTGTTGATCTATAAACCTCTAAACTCCCATCAAACTCAATGCCTGGTGGCTTATGAGTGATTGATTTCTCTCTCTCTCTTTCACACATGTGCATACACATACACATACACATTAGAATATAAGCCCCATGGCCGGGCACGGTGGCTCCTGCCTGTAATCCCAGCACTTTGGGAGGCTGAGGCAGGTGGATCACCTAAGGTCAGAAGTTCGAGACCAGCCTGCCCAACATGGTGAAACCCCAGTCTGTGCTAAAAATACAAAAAATTAGCCAGGCGTGGTGGCATGCACCTGTAGTCCCAGCTACTCGGGAAGCTGAGGCAGGAGAATCGCTTGAACCCAGTGGGTGGAGGTTGCAGTGAGCCTGCATTGTACCATCGCACTCCAACCTGGGCAACAAGAGCAAAACTCCATCTCAAAAAAAAAAAAAGAAAGAAAAAGAAAAGAATATGAGCCCCATGTCAGCTGCATGCCATAGCTATGTTCTCTATGGTCTCCACTTCCTGCAACAATACTGACACATAGTTAGGCACTTAACAAATATCTGATGAATGAAAGAGAGAGGAAATGGATGAATAATCATATTTTGAGGCAATCCTTGGCAAACCAAGGTGCTTAAGTGTGGGATCAATCAAGTACCAACCTAACAAAACTACTCCTTTTAACTGATGACTAATTGCTCTAGTGGGATTTAATAGATGATTTAATATCCAGCATTATCTCTAGAGAAGTTAAAAAATAAAATAAAGGATTTACTAATACTTTAATAATACAGTGCTTGAACTCAACGGCTTCAGGCGTCTCTGAGGAAACCCCTTATGCCATCAAAGATCAAAGGAGTTCTCTTCTGTCATATTTCATGGATCCTGGTTCTGGCACAAAAGTCCCAATCCAGCATCTTCTTTCCCCTGTTCTGTTTCCCATTTTTCCTCTCCATCCTCTTCCCTCCAGAGCTGTCAAGTTCTCGGCCAAACTGATGGGACAAGCTATGGCCAAGAGAGTCAAAGCGACCATCCTCTATGCCACAGAGACAGGCAAATCGCAAGCTTACGCCAAGACCTTGTGTGAGATCTTCAAACATGCCTTTGACGCCAAGGTAGGTGGGGGCCGCAGTAGCTCTCCCAGATTCTTATGGTAAATAAAGGCAGGAATGGGGAAAAGAGAAGTCAGCAGAGAAGAAGCCTTCAGCAAAGGATGAAAACACACCTGACGATGCCTGTCAGCTCACGCACACATTTGCATACGTGTCAGGGGACTGTGATATTCCTCTCCCCATGAGCCCTTCGGGAGTCTAGGAGCCACAAAACGAAATTTCCCTCTTAAGTGCAAAATGTTAGAGGGTTTATAAGAAACCATTCTGAGGTCTGTTTGGGAAGCTTTGCATGAAGTACAGCTCCATGGTTTTCATTGCTGTTGCAGGACTTCTCAGAGCCTGTAATCTGTAAGCATGTGTTATAATCTCCAAAAGAGGCGAGGATAGGATATAAATGTTTCCCAAATATATTTGACTGTGGATCACTTGTTTTCATGGAGCATTTCAGGAGACTGGGATTTTCTAGAACCTATTTTGAGAAATGTTGCTCAGACAATGATGAGACCCAGGGCAATCATCTTTCCAGAAGGCAGGTATCTCAGACTGGTTTAGCCAGGTGCTCCCACTGCTGGGGATAAGATCAGAGACGATGTTGAGAAGACTTGGTCAGCTGTAGCTAGGTTGTTCCCAGCCTGACTAGGGTCAGGAAGAATCCAGGACCAATTGACTATCAGAATCCCAAGGGATTCTGTCCAGATCTGTCTCTAGTGTCTGCCAACCTCTTGAACCACTGCCCCAAACTCTCCACAGTCCTTCGGGCCACAGTGATCATAGTAAGTTCCCATGCTACCAAAAAGCATTAGTTCTACCCACTTTAACACCCCAGATCTTTTGGTTCTCCTTGCAAAGGAGATGACTCCAGATGACATATTTTTCCTTTCTCTCCTCTTCTCCTTCCCCCATCACTTTTTATCTTTCCCACCTCTTTTCTCTCCTCATCCCCTTCTCCCTCTCCCCACCCTACACCTGTGCCCCTGCCCACCTAGGTGATGTCCATGGAAGAATATGACATCGTGCACCTGGAACATGAAACTCTGGTCCTTGTGGTTACCAGCACCTTTGGCAACGGGGATCCCCCTGAGAATGGGGAGGTGAGATGAGCTTTTACCTGTTCAAGAGTGTGGTTCCATCATTGGGAAGAAGGGGGTCCACAGTTGAGACTCTTCCTATACCTGCTGTTCAGTAGCAAACCCTCCCAGAGCCTCAAAGCCAGTAATTTTCATTTGGATCCAAGTTATCCAAAGATGGGACAGTTCCAAGTCCTCAGCTTGCTGATGTCCACTAGTTAGCAAGTCCCTGGTGAAAATATTGTCACCTAAGTCAGCTGTTTGTTTGCAGTGGCAGCTCTAATCATGAGCTTGATGTCCCCTGCTGTAGATGAGGGATATGGGGACAATATTTTTATAGAGAGAAGGCTCCAAAGGAAAGTTGTATGCTGGGGGCAGGGACTCTATCCCTGTAGCTGTTTAAACAGCAGGTGTATCCGCTGCATCTGCAACCCCAGCGTTACTGTCCAGCCTGAGCCCCTGACCTCTCTTGACATCCTGGCTTCCAGGCATCAGCCTCCTCTTTGACAGCCAGAACCCCAGACCCTCAGTGCCCGACCTGATGTCCCACTTACTAAGATGTGCTAATTTCACCCATCTGTTTCGGCCTCCAGAAATTCGGCTGTGCGTTGATGGAAATGAGGCACCCCAACTCTGTGCAGGAAGAAAGGAAGTAAGTGAATGACCCCTCCGACGTCACCCACCACCCCCTGAGGGTAACTGGACATTGAAATTTGGCACCTGGTGTTCACATTTGAGTTCTGGACGGTGGCTGTAATCTGATGTCCATTCATGATGGGTCTTAGTTGTGAGGTGTCTGCAGTCTACTGGGGCCAATATTTTGGTTTCTGAGTCACTTCACAGCCGTGTGCCTCAGTTTCCTTTTCTATTAAATAGAGATTATAGCACCTGCCTTGACTTTCTAATTAGTAAGAATCAAATCAGAAACTAGATGTAAGAGCACTGTGTAAATATTGTTCTTTTTTTTTTTTTTTTTTTTTGACATGGAGTTTCGCTCTTGTTACCCAGGCTGGAGTGCAATGGCGCGATCTCGGCTCACCGCAACCTCTGCCTCCTGGGTTCAGGCAATTCTCCTGCCTCAGCCTCCTGAGTAGCTGGGATTACAGGCACGCACCACCATGCCCAGCTATTTTTTTTGTATTTTTAGTAGAGACGGGGTTTCACCATGTTGACCAGGATGGTCTCGATCTCTTGACCTCACGATCCACCCACCTCGGCCTCCCAAAGTGCTGGGATTACAGGCATGAGCCACCACGCCCGGCCCAATATTGTCCTTATTCTTTTTCCCTCTTTGGGAACCTACATTCAAAATCAGTGCAAGGCAGTCAGGCATGGTAGCACACGCCTGTAGTCTCAGCTACTCTGGAGGCTGAGCTGGAAGGATCACTTGACCCCTGGAATTTGAGGTCAGCCTGAACAACCAGACCTGTCAAAAAAAAAAAAAAAAAAAGTTGCTAAAATCAAAGAATGGAACTTCTTTCCTTAGAAGCTTACTGTCTGATGCTCACGGTGAAGTCGCAGCTAATGTAGAAATTGAGTTCAAAAGATAAGATACCTCGTAAGACAAAACATACCTGTAGTCAAACATATGTTTGCAGTGGAACTGTGTCTAACATGGGATTGAGTTCTAAAGGTATTTGGTAAAGTAAAAAAGCATCTAATCAAACTTACCGTTGATGGCTTGGCATGGTGGCTCACGCCTATAATCCTAGTCCTGCGGGAGGCTGAGGTATGAGGATTGCTTGAAGCCAGGAGTTCAAACCAGCCAGAGCAATATAGCAAGATCCCATCTCTACAAAAAAAATTTTTTTAATTAGCTGGACATGGTGGTGTGCACCTGTAGTCTCAGCTACTCCAGAGGCTGAGGCAGGATCACATGAGCTCAGGGGCTGGAGGCTACAGTGAGCCATAATTGTACCACGGCATCCCAGCCTGGGCAACAGAGCAAGACCCTGTCTCTAAAAAATAATTTTTTTTTGAGACAGAGTTTCATTCTTATCACCAAAGCTGGAGTACAATGGCTTGATCTCAGCTCACTGCAACCTTTGCCTCTGGGGTTCAAGCAATTCTGGAGCCTCAGCCCCCTAAGTAGCTGGGACTATAGGCATGCACCACCGCACCTGGCTAATTGTTGTATTTTTAGTAGAGACAGGGTTTCACCATGTTGGCCAGGCTGGTCTTGAACTTCTGACCTCAAGTGATCCACCTGCCTCAGCCTCCCAAAGTGCTGTCACTGCACCTGGCCAAAAAAAAATTTTCAATTACCCTTGAAAAGCCCTCGCATCCCCCATAAGGTATAGAACATACAGTGTGTGCACACTGAGCTGCCTTTCAATGAGGCCAACTCAGTATTTGCTCCAGCGGGGAGCAGATCCCTGTGTCCGAAGATGAACATCAAGTGCTGTGGCTGGCTGGTGTTTATTGACTGTGTTAAGCAGAAAATCCCTTCTGAGGCCAGGCATGGTGGTTTATACCCGTAATCCCAGCACTTTGGGAGGCCAAGGCAGGAGGATCACCTGAGTCGGGAGTTCAAGACCAGCCTGGACAACATGGTGAAATCCATCTCTACTAAAAGCATAAAAATTAGCTGGGCGTGGTAGTGTGCACCTGTAATCCCAGCTGCTTGGGAGGCTGAGACAGGAGAATCACTTGAAGCCAAGAGGTTGAGGTTGTAGTGAGCTGAGATCGCGCCACTGCACTCCAGCCTGGTGACAGAGAGAGACTCCATCTCAAAAAAAAAAAAAAAAAAAAAAAAAATCACTTTTGATTTTCTTTGTTCAGTGAACGTGCTGCCAGACTCACATACTTTTGATACTCAGACTGTTGCTGAGTTCCTGTGGTCAGCCCTCGTTCTACGCTCACCTCCAGCGTCTTAGCCCTCACTTTCCCCACTGCTCTCCCTCCCACCCCATCCTGGGTGGCCTCCTAGCAAGTTCCCTCTCACCCCCCCTTCAGGGAGAGATAGGGCACCATCGATTCTCCCCTCTAGGTACCCGGAACCCTTGCGTTTCTTTCCCCGTAAAGGGCCTCCCCTCCCCCATGGTAACACAGAAGTCCACGGTCTGGCTGCAGCCCGTGACACCCAGCACAGGTAGAGTGTGCATGTGTGTGCATGTGCACATGTGTGTACATGCATGCGTGTGAAAATATGTGCATGCATGCCCAATGCCTGAGCATCCAAGGCCACACATCTAGGTCTCAAGGAGACCCGAGTTCTAACCCGGGCTGTGTCACTAACTCACTAAGTGACCTTGAGCAAGTCACTTCTGTGGGCCTCGGTCTTTCTCATCTGCCAAATGGGGAGAAATTATCCCTGCCCTACCCACTTCTGTGGCCTGCTGGCAGGGTCAAAGGGTAATAACAAAGAGGAAAGCATTTGGAAAAACCTCCAGCCTCATACAAATGCACGTGCCGTTATTTTTACCCACAACCATCAACCATGCCTCCCACACTAACAACACAGCCACCCCCTGATATATTCCATGACTCAATGTGAGACTATTTTAGGGCAGAAAATACACTTACATATATTTAGAACTTTCCCGATGCTGGAGGGAAAACTTAAAAGAACATCCAGCTTAGAAACCCTGCTGTCGGAATGCACCATTTCTTTTCTTTTCTTCTTTTTCTCTTTCATGTTCTTTTTTTTTTTTTTTTTAATCTTTTGCAACTAGATTCGTGTGTTGAGTTTTGGGTTTTGTTTTGGAGTTTTGATTGTGTGTTGCTTTGGTCTCAGATTTTTTGTTCGCGTTTGCTTTGTTTTGTTTTGCCTTGCCTGAGAGCACTACTTCCCACTTTCAGAGGAAAACTGAGATATTAAATTTTTTTTTTAGTCTCAAGATTCCTGAGCCTTTCATGCTAAGGTTTGAGTCCCGATGACATCTTCCTTCACCTTCAAAATAATTTAATTAAAAAATGCAATCTCTTTCTGTGCCAAGTGTCAGTGCTGAGCATTTTTTATGTTTCCTTGAAATGTGAAATGTGACACAGGCCCGAAGTGTCTAAGGACCGTAACTTTATGGAAGGACAGTAGTGAGTGGCATGCTCCAGCACTGTCCAGAAGAACTTTCTACAGAGATGCAAATGTTCTGTATCTGTGCTGTCCACGATAGCAGCCACTAGCCACATGTGGCTCTGGAGCACCTGAAATGTGGCTAGTGCGAGTGACCTGGACCCTGCTATGACCCTGTGGTTCTCAAACCTGGGTGCACATCAGAATCACCTAGGGAGGTCTGCAGTGTACCAACCACATTGGCTTGTATTTAATTCAAATTAATTTAACTTTAGATAGCCACACTTAGCCAGTGGCTGCCATCTGGGACAGCATAGTCTAGTTTCTAGCCACTTAAAGTCTAGAGACACTGGAATCTCCTGTGAGCTTCTTAGAAATGCAGAACCCCAAGCTAGGTCCCAGACCTACTTAATCAGAATCTGCATTTTAATGAAATCCCAGGATGATTCCTGTGCACATTAAAATTTGAGAAACAAGAAAACATGGTCTAATGGTTTAGGAGGGTGGTTAGTTCTATTCCTGACTTCTTACTGATTTAATCGTTTCAACTTTATGGGTCTCAAGTTTCCTGAGTTAAGCATGGCTAGAAGCCTTTTAAGTGCCAGTGAGGTCAAGTGCAGATGAACAGCTACCACTGTGGTGGGCATGAGTAAGTTGGCAGATTATAAAAGAGGCCATGGGAGTGTTATGGTCTGACTCAACGTAAAAGAGAAGGCCCTAGAATCAGGACTGGTAACTTGAAGATTCATCAAGGGTGTTGACCTCAGGAGGGAGCTTCAGGCCAGAGCTCACAGGTTCTCTTTGATTTTGGCAGGAGCTACAAGGTCCGATTCAATAGCGTCTCCTCCTACTCTGACTCCCAAAAATCATCAGGCGATGGACCCGACCTCAGAGACAACTTTGAAAGTGCTGGACCCCTGGCCAATGTGAGGTGAGCAAGGGGATAACAGGGTCGGGGGTCAGAGAAGACCAAGGCTCCCGGGGAGCTGGACCTAGTTACAAAGTGAGCCCTTTGTTGTGGGGAGGGAGTCTCCCTTCCATGCCCATTCATTTCTCATAAAACCAGCTGCATGGCTGTCTAGGATCCCTCCCACCCATTAAGTCACTTTGCCTGGTTTCCCCATGCACCATTTTTGATCCTTTATGCGACTTCTTTTCCTATACACACTCCCTCAGAGCCCCATTACCCAAGGTTCACCCCATTATTCGTGCTGAAGGATATCAATCCCTGGATATTGCTCAATGAGCTGCCCTTCCCAATAGCTATGGTGTATACTTAATAGAAGCTTCTGTAGACACCTTGCCATGGCCCAATGGTTCCCTACCCTGGAGGCTCATCAAAATCACCTAGAGAGGTTTGCAGCCTACTAATACAATAACCAAGCCCCAACTCCAGAGATTCTGATGGAATTGATCTAGAATTGGGCTCATGTGTTGCTTTTTTTCTTTTTCTTTAAGTCTCTCCAACTGACTCTAACATGCAGTCATGCCCTAACCCCACGTTATCTCATGGCATAGTCACATACTATGAGATAATTTTAGGAAGTATGGGAACAGTTATTTTATATTACAATAGTCGTGTATTCGGTTTAATGGGTTCTTGGAAGGAAAGAAAACTGGGATGTCAAACCATATCCCTTGGTTTCAGGGATATGGATCAAGACAAGACCGATGTGAGTTGCCCATAGGAAGGACATTCAGGCCTGGCCACAGATCTCTCAGACCTTCGCTAATGAAACCTTCTCCATCATTACCTAGAGCAATGCTTAGTACATAATATAGATCACAGTTTGTTAGATATCAAAACATCTATTATGTCCTCCAGGACATTTTAAAATAGGATTTATGGTTTTTTGCTTGTATGATGCTGTTGTTGTTGAAAAGATGGAGTCTCGCTGTCACCCAGGCTGGAGTGCAGTGGCACGATCTCAGCTCACTGCAACCTCTACCTCCCAGGTTCAAGAGATTCTCCTGCCTCAGCCTCCTGAGTAGCTGGGACTACAGGTGCACGCCGCCATGCCCAGCAATTTTTTTTTATTTTTTTTAAGTAGAGACCAGATTTCATTATGTTGCCCAGGCTGGTCTTGAACTCCTGAGTTCAGGCAATCCGATTGCCTCGACCTCCCAAAATGCTGGGATTAAAGGTGTGAGGCCACTGTGCCCAGCCTAGGCTTTATGCTTTAAAGCAATTTTAGTTGACAGCAAAGTGAGCAGAAAATACAGAGCGTTCCCATATCTTCCTTTCCCTACACAGACAGTCTCTCCTCCTATCAGCATCCTGCACCAGAGTGGTGCGTTTGTTAGAATGATGCACCTACAATGACAAGTCATTATCAGCCTCAGGCCGTCATTTACTCTAGGGTTCACTCTTGGCTGCTGCACATTCTATAGGTTTTGACATCAGTACTTTTTGCAGCCCAACATTGAAATATCAGTTCTGGAGTTTGACAGTCAGACCCATTTTTCCCTTATTAAATCTATCATGGCAGGGTTTGGCAAACTCTTGCCTGTGGGCCAAATCCAGCCTGGTCACTGCATATATTTTACAACCCATGAGCTAATAAAGGGTTTTCTTACCAACGAACATTTGTAATTAGTTTGATGGTAGAAAACATTACCTTTGAACCCCAATAAAGGAAATGTCACTCTTCTCCCCCAAAAAATGAATTCCAGTGTTCTCATAGTCAACCTGTGTTAAAGTATGCTTAATTATTATTATTATGTTTTTAATTTTAGCAATTGAAAATGTTCAAGAATTTGTTTTCTTTCTTGTTTTGTAAGTACCTACATAATACCTTCAATTTTACTTCTTGGCCTGTAAGCCTAAGAATATTTGCTGTCTGACCCCCACATATAAAAAATTTGCCAACACCAGGCACAGTGCCTCATGCCTGTAATCCCAGCACTTTGGGAGGCCAAGGCAGGCAGATCACTTTAGTTCAGGAGTCCAAGACCAGCCTGGACAACGTGGCAAAACCCCATTTCTACCAAAAATATAAAAACTTAGCTGCTCCTGGTGGCAGACACCTGTGGTCCCAGCTACTCTGGTGAGGCTCGAACCTGAGAGGCATGAGGTTGCAGTGAGCCAAGATTGTGCCACTGCACTCCAGCCTGAATGACAGAGCAAAGCTGTCTCAAAAAAAAACCATAAAGTTTGCCAAGACCAGGCACAGTGGCTCACGCCTACCATCTCAACACTTTGGGAGGCTGAGGCGGGAGGATCACTTAGTTTAGACCAGCCTAGGCAACACATTGGGACCCTGTCTCTACAGAAAAAAATGTCTCTACAGAAAAAAAGTGAAAAAAATGAATTGATTAGCCAGGCACAGTGGCACATGTCTTCAGTCCCAGCTACTAGGAGGCTGTGGTGGGGAGATTGCCTGAGCCTAGGAGATCAAGGCTGCAGTAAGCCATGATCACACTACTACTGCACTCCAACCCGAATGACAGAGCAATCGAGACCCTGCCTCGAAAAAATGTTTGCCAACTCCTGGTTTGGAGGCTTAAAATAGGAATTTTGAAATCATAAGCTGAAGATTGTGATGGAAATGTGACAAGCAGTGACTGTGATCTGGGTCCTCAGGTCCACCAAGAAGAACATTAATGAATCAACTGCCTGAATCATCATCTGTTGGTGAAAACAAGAGTCAGGAGTCTTAGTTTGTTCGGGCCGCTATACCCAGTGTCATAAACTGGCAGCTTGTAAACAACAGAAATGTATTTCTCACAGTTCTAGAGGCTGGGAAGCCCAAGATCAAGGTGCTGGCAGATTCAGTGTCTGGTGAGGGCCTACTCTGTGGCTCACAGATGGTGGCTTCCAACTGCATCCTCACATGGCAGAAGGGGAAGAACTCTGGTTTCTTCAGCGCCTTATGAGGGCACTGATCTCATTCATGAGGCTTCATCTTCATGACTCAGTCACATCTAAAAAGGCCACTAATACCATGACACTGGGGGTTAGATTTCAACCTGTGAATTTGGGGGTGACACAAACATTCAGATCATAGCAGTGCTGAGCTAGTGAGGAAAGATGAAAAGCAAGTTCAAAAGCACAAATGAGTAATTAACAGTATCAGTGGTAATTAAATATGGCAGACATCACAAACATAAATCACAGAGATTCGGGAAACAACACCTTAACCAGAAGGCATGACTCATGCTGGGAGTTCCCAGGTCTACACTGGGCTAAGGCTGAAGCAGGTGGCTTAGGGTAGGGGTGCCCTTTCCCGTTACCCTTCCAATCAGCCCACACCCAATCCCCATTTCTGTCTACGTGTCAGGCCGCCACCCTGCAAGAAAAGAGTAATGTTTTTAAATCCAGGAAGATCCTTGGTTAAGAGTAAATGGCAGTCTGGGCACGGCAGCTCATGCCTGTAATCCCAGCACTTTGGGAGGCTGAGGTGTGTGGATCACCTGAGGTCAGGAGTTCAATACCATCGTGACCAACATGGTGAAACCCCATCTCTACTAAAAATATAAAAATTAGCTGGGTATGGTTGTGGGGGCCTGTAATCCCAGCTACTCAGAGGGTGAGACAGGAGAATTGCTTGAACCTGGGAGGCGGAGGTTGCAGTGAGTCAAGATCGCCACACCACTGCACTTCAGCCTGGGCAACAAGAGCAAGACTGTCTCAAAAAAAAAAAAAAAAAAAAAAGAAGAAGAAGAAGTAAATGGCAAAATGCTGTCTAATCCCACATACTTTATTTAGAAAGGCTCTGGAATTCTAGGGAAAGGTGGGCAAGGAAGAAGAGGAAGATGAAATGATACGAGTGGATTTGAGAGGAGTGGATATTAACCTATGTTAACCTTCACCTGTGACGCACCTGGACCCACCCCAAGTTCATGCTCCAATGATGGAGAATACCTCCCCAACTTCTCCTACCTTCTTCCTTCCTCCCCATCCTAATCTGTTCCCATGTTGTTACCATCACCCTGAAAAAGAGATTCAGGGGCAGGGCCTGACCCTGTATGGGGTAGTTTAAGTAACCCCTCTCCATGGTTTATCTGAGATGACAGTCTATAGAAGAACACTCCGACCTTAAAAAGTGGGGCAGGGGGGTGATTTTGTCCCATTCATGAACTGTTATTCTGTCCCTGTGAGGTCTAAGACCCATAGTCAAGACCGAGTTCTGGAAATGTGGCAGAAAGTGTCTGAAGGGCTGTAGACCAGCCCTACAGAAGCCCTCCATTTCCCATAATTCAGTCAAAGTGTCCCCACCTCAACACAGAGAAATATCTCGTGAACTTGACCCCACTGGTTCAAGCACCAACATTTTCTTGGTGGTCTCTATGCACAGAGGGTCTATGAAGAAAACTCATTTCATAGCCCTTACAAAGAATCAAACCAGAGTAATTTTTTTTTAAGACAGAGTCTTTCTCTGTCGCCCAGGCTGGAGCGCAGTGGCACGATCTTGGCTCACTGCAGCCTCCACCTCCCTGATTCAGGTGATTCTCCTGCCTCAGCCTCCCAAGTAGCTGAGACTACATGTGTGTGCCACCACGCCTAGCTAATTTTTTATATTTTTAGTATAGACAGGGTTTCACCATGTTAGCTAGGATGGTGTCAGTCTCTTGACCTCGTGATCCACCTGCCTTAGCCTCCCAAAGTGCTTCGATTACAGGCGTGGGCCACTATACCCAGCCTATTTATAACTCTTTGATCTCCTTTTTAGAAGAACCTGTTTGATGTGTTGATGACAGTTTCTTCTGGTCTCCTCATTAATATAAGTCCCTGAGAACTATTATGTTATAGTTTCATTGTCTTCATACTTAAAACTAATCTAGTTATGCCACTTGTAGAATTCAAGCCCACCACTAACATACGCTAATTTCTCCAATTGGTCCAGCTTAGAAATGGACATGCAAGAAACAGCCAGTGGTTCCAGGTCGCCGCTATCCCTAACTTGTCCTCCTTAGAATCAATTAGAATATTCTCCAGATGATGGTGATACTTACAAGAGACCAAAAGAAAGGGAGAGAAACCCTTGAGAGCCCTTAGGTTTAAAGTGCCCTTCCACAGATGAGCTTGGGGTTGCCTGACTGCCATCAGCTAAATACTGTTCTTCTTGAGATACCAGATATATTAGTTCAGGCTGCCACAACAAAATAGCACAGAGTGGTATTGGCCGTAGTTCTAGAACTCACAGACAGCTTAAACAGAAACTTAATTTCTCATGATACTGGAAGCCGGAACTCCAAGATCAAGGTGCTAGCAGGGTTGCCTTCTGGTGAGGTCTCGCTTTCTGGCTTGCAGATGACCACCTTCTTGCTATGTCCACAGAGAGAGAGAGACAGGTAGAGAGAGAGAAAGAGAGAAGAAGAGAGAGAGTGCTCTGGTGTCTCTTCCTCTTCTCTAAGGACACGAATCCTATCAGATCAGAGCTCTACCCTTATAACCTCATTTAACTTTAATTACCTCCTTAAAGGCCCTATCTGGAAATACAGTTGTAAGGAGATTAGAGTTTTAATATATGAAATGTGGGGGGACACAGTTCAGCCCATTACACCCGACACTCCCCACATTCCCCACAGTCCCTTAGCATGAACATTCTGTTGTCTCCCTGGCAGGTTCTCAGTGTTCGGCCTCGGCTCACGAGCGTACCCTCACTTTTGCGCCTTTGGACATGCCGTGGACACCCTCCTGGAAGAACTGGGAGGGGAGAGGATCCTGAAGATGAGGGAAGGGGATGAGCTCTGTGGGCAGGAGGAGGCTTTCAGGACCTGGGCCAAGAAGGTCTTCAAGGTAATCATGGACCTACAGGAGAAGTAATGCTCCCCACGCTCCCCAAAGACAGCACCTAAACCGTCAGGAAGAGAAGAAACTTGTACAAACCCTCAGTACCTTTCCCACTTATCCAGCCTAGATGCAGCTTTAAACAGCTCAGACAAATCTGGGTGACCTGAGAACACATATTTTCTACCTAGAATCCAACATCCTGCATTATGGGCAAGGAGTTGGTTCATAAAAATGTTATGCAGTCTTGGAACGTCAGGCTGGGAGGGAGCCATCCCTCATTCAAATTTGGTATACAGGTACATAAAAAAACACACAGAGTTGCTCGACCAAACCAAACCGAAGATCCGGGCAGTCTGTCAACTTTGACAAGCCTACCCTCTTGTGCTAGGTCGTCAGTAACCAGTATGGTAGCCACTAAGCACACATAGCCATTTAAATTTAAACTAATTAAAATTGCATATGATGAATGGGTAAATAAAATGTGGTACATCAATGCAGCAGAATGTTCTTCATCCACGAAAAGGAATGAAGTGGTGATACCTGCTACAACATGATGGACCTTGAAAACTTTATGCTAAGTGGAAGAAGCCAGTCACAAAAGAATACGTATTGCAGGATGCCGTTTATATGAAATGTCCACAATGAGAAAATCCATAGAGACAGAAGGCAGGTTAGTGGTTGCTAGGGGTTATGGGGATGAGAAATGTAAGTAACCGCTAACAGATTTTAAAAAAATTGTTGTGGGGGTTGGGGTGATGAGAATGTTCTGGAAGCAGATAGTGGGAAGGGTTGCATAACCTTGTGAATGTTCTACGTGCCACAGAATTGTGCATGTTTAAGTAGTGAATTATGTTATATGAATTGCATCTACACCTATTTATACGGTACAAAATTAAATAAGGCTGGACAAGATGGTTCATGCTTATAATCCCAGCACTTTGGGAGGCTGGGGCAGGAGGATTGCTTGAGCCCAGGAGCTCAAGACCAGCCTGGGCAACCTAGTGAGACCTCATCTCTTAAAAAATAATAATTAATTAATTAATTAAATAGGTCTAAAATCCCATTCGTGACTTCCTCCAGACAGAAAAGAGCGATAGACCCTGCATCCCCACCTCACCAGGAAACTACTAAAGTTCCTGGGGAAGCAAAGTAGAATTTCTTTAGAACATAATGGATCGAGAGGAGAAAACCTGTAGTGGCTGTGAAGCCCCTGGTGCCATGTGTGCCTAATTGATACCTTCTGATGATCATGAATTTATTGTAAAAATGAAACATGTGCTAATATCAGGAACAATAAAAGCCATGTTGGGTGACCCAGGTCAGTTTTCTGAGAAAAAAACCAATGAAGTTAATTTGAGAGTGAGATTCCTATCCCTGTGTTACCAAAAGTATACATGTATTTTTACATGCGAGGTTCACTACATTAACAGCTCCACTGAGATTCTAGAATCCCCAATTGTACCTGAAATTTGCACTAGAACTGCTGATGGCTGCAAACTTCCTAGATTGTTAAATAAAATAAATTATAATAAACTGTTGGCCAGGCACGGTGGCTCACACCTGCAATCCCAGCAATTTGGGAAGCCAAGAAGGGCAGATCGCCTGAGCTCAAGAGTTCGAGACCAGCCTGGGCAACATGGTGAAACCCCATCTCTACCAAAATACAAAAAATTAGCTTGGTGTGGCAGTGTGTGCCTATAGTCCCAGCTACTCAGGAGGCTGAGGCAGGAGAATTGCTTGAACCCAGCAGGTGGAGGTTGTGGAGCCGAGATCATGCCACTGAACTCCAGCCTGGGGGACAGAGCAAGACTCTGTCTCATAAATAAATAAATAAATAAATAAAAATAATAAACTGCTATCTTTTTTCAGTATTTAAAAAAAAAAAATCCTGCCAGGCATGGTGGCTCACGCCTGTAATCCCAGAACTTTGGGAGGCCAAGGTAGGCAGATCATGAGGTCAGGAGTTCAAGACCAGCCTGGCCAACATAGTAAAACCCCATCTCTACTAAAAATACATAAAAGAAAAATTAGCTGAGCATGTTTGCAGGCGCCTGTAGTCCCAGCTACTTGGGAGGCTGAGCCAGGAGAATTGCCTGAACCTTGGAGGTGGAGGTTGCAGCAAGCTGAGATCATGCCACTGTACTCCAGCCTGGGCAACACAGTGAGACTCTGTCTCAGAAAAAAGAGAAAAGAAAAAAAAATCCATTGTTCAGTTGCAGTAACCACTTTTTGTATTCTCAGTCGCCACAGGGGTGGGAGTTTCCATATTAGACAGTGCAGAACCTTTCCATCATGATAAAACATCCTATTGGCCAGAGCTGTTCTAAATTGAAGGCTGCAGGAGTATAAATGAGCCATGCATGGCCTTTTACCTGCATATGGGGATTACCAAACTGACCATCCTGGGGTGGGAGGTGGTAATGAATGTGGACCCTGCCACTTTCACCCACTCCCATCCTAGCCTTGGAATGCATTCTCATCAGCAAGCCCAGGAGAAAAGGTAACATGCCACCTTCTGTCATTCAGTTGGTACTTTTCATCCTGAAAGCAAATGCAGGTAGAGAGCAAGTGGGGAAGCTGAGGCCCCTGGGCTATAAGGATTTCCATGTGGGAAGGCAGTGTTCATTAGCCTGTTCCCATTTCCTCCTAGACAAGGAGAGTTGGGATAACTTGGCTTTTTATACCTGTAGGGATAATTCTGTTTCTTGATTTCCACCAGCCAACCTTGACTTAGCCACCAGAAGCAAGGCTTGTTAAAAGCCACTGTACCCTTTAGCCATCAGCTCCTGTCCTCCCATCCCACCCTCAGCTCTGGCAACCACGAATCTATTTCCGTCTCTGTAGATTTCCCTGTGCCGGACATTTCATGTGAATGGAATCATATCATACGTGGTCTTTTGTGACTGACTTCTTTAACTTAGTATAATGTTTTCAAGGTTCTTCCATATTGTAGCATATATCAGAACTTCATCCTTTTTTATAGCCAAATAATATTCCATTGTATGGATGTGCCAAATCTTGTTAATCCATTCATCCACTGATGAACATTTGGATTGTTTTAAAGTCAACATGAGGTCAAACAATGGTAAAAGCTCCTCTTAAAAATTATCATTATTGGGCCAGGCGCAGTGGCTCATGCCTGTAATCCCAGCACTTTGGAAGGCCAAGGCAGGTGGATCACTTGAGGTTGTGAGTTTGAGACCAGCCTGACCAACATGGAGAAACCCCGTCTCTACTAAATATACAAAATTAGCCGGGCATGGTGGTGCATGTCTGTAATCCCAGCTACTCGGGAGGCTGAAGCAGGAGAATTGCTTGAACCCAGGCAGCGGAGGTTGCAGTGAGCCAAGATTATGCCATTGCACTTCAGCCTGGGCAACAGGAGCAAAACTCTGTCTTAAAAACAAACAAACAAAAACTATTATTTTGCATTATCTGTGGTTTTATCTTAAAATAAATTAGGGCATTGGCCGGGCATGGTGGCTCATGCCCATACTCCCAGCACTTTGGGAGGCTGACACAGGTGAATCACTTGAGGCCAGGAGCTCAAAACCAGCCTGGCCAACATGGCAAAACCCTGTCTCTACTAAAAATACAAAAATTAGCTGGGTGTGGTGGCACATGCCTGTAATCCTAGCTACCTGGAAGGCTGAGGCATGAGAATCACTTGAACTTGGGGAGGAGGTTGAGGCTGCAGTGAGCCAAGATCACACCACTGCACTCCAGCCTAGGTGGCAGAGTGAGATTCTGTCTTAAATAAATAAATAAGGATATTAATTCTTAGAATTGTTAAAATTGAAGAACAAGTGAGCTTGACCAAAAAAAAAAAAAAAAAAAAATGAAAAATGTATGTGCAGTCATCCAGACATTCAGTATGCTCTGCCTTCATATAATTCTTACAGATTTAAAGGAAGATGGATTGGGAAATTCTAAGATGTTTACTTTATTCTTTAATGTTAAGTCTCTACACACATTAGTTTTAGGAATAAATGGCATAATAGAATTATATCTTAAGTACAAGTTACGCCCTAAAGTCAATGGCAAATCTGATGTGTCCAGTACATTGAAGACACTGAAAATATATAGGATGGATGGATAGACAGTTTCATGCATGGAAAGATAGATGAATGCGTGGGTAGGTGGGTGGGTGGATGGATGGATGGATGGAAGGATGGATGGATGGGTGGATGGATGGATGGATGGGTGGATGGGTGGGCGGGTGGATGGGCGGATGGGTGAGTGGAAGGATGGATAGATGGATGGAAGGGTAGAAGGATAGATGAATGGAAGGGTGGATGAATGGATGGAAGGAAGACAATGAAAGGGTAGAGGGAAGGAGGGAAGGGCTACTGGATGGATGAATGGTTAGATAGGTGGATGGATGGATGGAGAGATGGATGGATGGGTGGATGGATGGGTGGGTGGATGTATGGATGGATAGAGGGATGGATGGATGGTTAGAGAGATGGATAGTGGATGGATAGAGAGATGGATGGATGAATGGTTAGAGAGATGGATGGATGGGTAGATGGATGGATGGATGGATGGATAGATGGATGGGTGGATGGATGGATGGTTAGATAGACAGATGGATGGGTGGGTGGATGGAGAGATGGATATATGGGTAGACAGAGAGATATATGCCATGACTTGGAGCTCTTGGAGAGGAGATCCACTTGGCTGAAAGAGGTCACTGAAAGCCTTGTATACACCACAGGCAGCATGTGATGTCTTCTGTGTGGGAGATGATGTCAACATTGAAAAGGCGAACAATTCCCTCATCAGCAATGACCGCAGCTGGAAGAGAAACAAGTTCCGCCTCACCTATGTGGCCGAAGCTCCAGAACTCACACAAGGTACCTCCCACCACCCTTCCAGGGAGGCATTCATAACAATGGGGGAAAGGCAAGCGATCTCACCTCTAGAAGGTGCTTAGAGAAGACGGGCTTCATTGCTTTGCTCTCCATTTAGTGCAGTCCTACCAAAATGAATGCTTTGCTGCCCTCCCACACTCCGTGAAACAAGTGCTGGGAAATATCTCTCTCTCTTGCTCTAGTAACATACTGTGTTCTTCTAAACCATTCTCTTCTCAACTCAACCAGATTTTCTTTTTGTTCTGCACTACCCACAACCACCCCACCCATCCCAACCAATGCCTGCCTGATCTCTTCTCATCTGTCTCTCACTGCACTCCAGAGATCAGTGGAAGTGTCAGTAGAGGTTGAATAAAATGCCGCAGAGGGTTTGTCTGTATTAATATTCTGAGACAAGATCTCATTTTGTTTCCCAGGCTGGTCTTGAACTCCTGGCCTCAAGTGATCCTCCCACCTCAGCTTACTAAGCAGTTGGGATTACGGGCGTGAGCCACCTTGCCCCACCTGGGGAGTTTTTGTGGAACGTTCCACCCCATCTCAGGAAGACTGTTGTTTTTCCTCCCCACAGGTCTATCCAATGTCCACAAAAAGCGAGTCTCAGCCGCCCGACTCCTTAGCCGTCAAAACCTCCAAAGCCCTAAATCCAGGTAGGAACCCCGTGGTTCATTGGGTTACCCACCTCTTCTCCTAAATGCCACCCATGATGGAGGAAAAGCCCTTGTGGACACCAAGGACTGGCTGTTTTCCAATTATTGCAAAGTGCCATCGAGACCCCCTTGCTACTTTGTAGCATCTGGGTTTCCTGCCTTCCTTTTCCCAAGCTCTAATCTGAAGGGGTGGGAAAAGGAGATGGTGTTGATCTCGTGAAAAGAGGAAAGAAAAAGGTTTTCTGAGTAATTTTTAACAGTGGACTGCACCCCATAGAATTGCTACATGCTCAATGTACCACAGCATCTTAGCTGGAAATCACTTAGTCCAAGTATTTCCTATTGTGGATAATTTTTTTAATGGAGTGCTAAAAAATGGCTACCACACTGCTTAAATTTCTTTGGGTTGATGGGAGGCTCATTATCTCACAAAACAGCCCACTCTGTGTTTTGAAGTCCTAATTGTTAGAAATTAGCTTAATATCCAATATAATCAATTATCTTATTATCTAATATAACCAAAGCATGTCTTCCTAGCAGTTTATTTTAAACCCAGTTTTACTCTCTGCTGACACCTAAGGCAAGTTTCTTTCTTTCCAAATGGCCTGCAAATAGCCAGTGACACTGACCAATCTCCCATGGGTCCTAACTGCTTCAAGTCATTCTTCCTAAGATGTGGTTTCCCAAGCCTTTGGCTTTAGTAAAAGGACACGCTCTGTCCTGCTGGAAATATCTCTCTCAGACCTGGTCACAGTGCAGTAGAGGGCGTGTGATCACTGCCAAATGTGCTGAGGTTATTATCACTGTCACCAGTCTGAGCAGGACGCGCTAATGCTGCCTGAGATCGCAGGCGTGGTCCTAATGGCCGTTCTGCTCTTCCGTTAAAAGCGGTCGGTGCTGTTCTTAGACCTCATGTCACCTCAAAATGATCAAACCAGGTCTGTCCATCTCTCTACTTGTGTAAATAATTTTTCTCGCACTAATGAAAGCCTTTGCAGAGATTCCTATTGAATGGAATCTTTTTCACTTTGTAGGTACAGCAGAAGACCTTTTCAAGTCTTGATTTTTTGCACAGCATACTTTACTGCACTGTGTTTCACTAGGTTACCCACCTCTGCTCCCAGGTGCCACCTACAATAAAGAATAAGCTCTTGTTGATTCCAAGGACTGGCTGTTTTCCAATCATTGCAAAGTACCATAGAGACCCCCTTGCTGCTCTGGGAACAGAGGTGGGTAACCCACTGAACACAAGAACTGGGCACTGAACTATGCTGTGCAAAGAATCAATACTTGAAAAGGTCTTCTGCTGTAACCGAACCGCAAAGTGACAAACATTCCATTCCATGGGAACCAATGCAAAGACTTGCATTAGAGCTAGAAAAATTTCTTATACAATAGAGAGATGAACAGACCTGGTTTGATCAATTCAAGATGTGATGTCTAAGAGGAGGCGCTTGGCTGGGCATGGTGGCTCATGCCTGCAATCCCAGCACATTCGGAGGCTGAGACAGGTGGGTCACCTGAGGTCGGGAGTTCACGACCAGCCTGATCAACATGGAGAAACCCTGTTTCTACTAAAAATACAAAATTAGGCCAGGCACGGTGGCTCATGCTTGTAATCCCAGCACTTTGAGAGGTCAAGGTAGGCGGATTACAAGGTCAGGAGTTCAAGACCAGCCTGACCAATACAGTGAAACCCCATCTCTACTAAAAATACAAAAATAAGCTGGGTGTGTTGGTGGACACCTGTAATCCCAACTACTCGGGAGGCTGAGGCAGGAGAATCGCTTGAACCCAGGAGGTAGAGGTTGCAGTGAGCTGAGATCATGCCACTAAACTCCAGCTTGGACAACAGAGCTAGACTCATCTCAAAAAAAAAGAAAGGTTGTGGTGAGCCAAGATTGCACCATTGCACTCCAGCCTGGGCAACAAGAGTGAAACTCTGTCTTAAAAAAAAAAAAAAGAGTAGGTTCTGGAGTTGAGCAGTCCTGGGTTCTAAGTCCAGCTCTGCCAAGCACTAGCTGTCCAGCCTTGGACAAGTCACTTAGGTGGTCTGAGCCCCTGTCTCCTTACCTCTAGAATGGGAATGGTAGCTATGAAGATTGCTAATGTTTTTCTAGAGGTTTCTGTGTTCCAAGCACTGTGCTGAGCCCTCTGTGCAGGATCTTTTATAATTCTAACCAGCCTGGGAAGTAGGTACCCTTACCATACACATTTAAAATAGGAGCAATGACAGCTAAAAAATACAAGTGACTTTCTCAAGGTCACACCGACCCGGTTATCTGACGCCAAAGTCAGTGTGCCAAATGGCTACACAGATGGCCTCACCAGCATTGCAAGGCTGCTGAGTATTCAAAATAAGCCACATAAAGCAACTAGCATATCATAGGGTCCAGGCGGTATTCTTTATCCATCCCTGCTTCATGTCACCTGCAAATTTAGTGTGCATGTTTTCAATGTAATCTTCCAAACCTTTGATAAAAGTCATCCACAGAGAAGAGCCCCAGGGCTCCCACATTCTTAGAGTCCCAAACATGAAAGAAATGGAGTGGGAAATTAATCTCTGAATAATTAGTTAAGTGCAATTCAGAGCATAATGGCCTCCGATATAGAGAGGAACTCTAGTTGAAATATATCTCTTACTACTTATTTCTGTCCTATGGGAAAGGATGATTTAAGTAGCATTGCATGAGAAGGTCTAATAATCTACTGGAAGTTTCTTTCAGCAACAAACTATGAAAGACCAGCTTACAGCATTTACTCCCAGAGCCATGGTACATAAGTAGCAGGAAACTTGCAAATGTTTTGATGCTAAGTAGAACCAGAAGTCCCCAAATCAGCCCCCACCCCCGCCAATTCAGAAGGGTACCTGACTCTAAGCTACAGGCCTGAAAGTAACGAGCCAGAGAATGTTCCAAACAAGGACAGAACTGGAGTGTAGAATTAAAATCGATTATGAATTAGCACAACGAGGACCCAATCATGCCTCCGTGTTTGTCTCTCTAAAAGCATGTTCTGTATTTTCAAGCTTAAAGTGCTTTAAAAGCACTATCTATTGGTAAGCTTAATACCATTTCCAGCTTCATAAGGTTTATTTTTTAAAAGAAGAAGAAGAAGAAGGATAATTGAGTGGAAAAACATGACTCTCCCATTTTCTCCTGCCCCAAGGCTGAAGTTGGGCTATTTGGTCCAAAGGCCATAACCAAGATATCACTAATCCTCCTGAGAGAAACCATTAATTGCAGGCAAAGTGCTTATGAGGAAATAGGCAGCCTTTTGAGGATGATCCTTGAAAATCTAAAGAGAAAAGTGACCACAGTCACCATCACAGCCTAGAAATAAATTTTCTAATGCACATACAACAATTAGCAAATGACACAGAAGAGAGAGCATAATGGATCGCTAATGTGTGGGGTGTAGACGCTAAGTCCTCGAAGTCAGGAGGAAGAGGGGAACACAGGACTTGAGATGAACCTCTTCAGGGAGGGTGGGCTGTAGAAAGGCAGAAGAGAGGAGGGGGTCCAGGAAGAAAGAACAGCAGAAGTCAAGTCAGCACTGGGATGTTTGGGAGAGTGGCAGATATTCCAATGGCGAGTTCTTGATTGGAAGAAGGCTTCAGTCTCATCTCTTCTCAAGTAAAACTGCTTCTCTCCAGCCTTCCCCATCTCAACCGAGGACGTCAACAGGTGGCTTCGGCCAAAAGCTCCAGTGTCATCCTCACTCCTCTCTCTCCCTCACACGTGTCATGCAGTGCCTCAGCAGATGCCCTTGGCCTTGTCTTTCAGCTGCGTCTCCAACCCAATACCTGGAGCGGAGCCATGGGCATCTCTGATCTGAGCGACTAGAATAGTCACCCAGCTTGTATCTTGGTTTCTGAACTTTTCTCTAAAAAGATCATTTTCCAAAAAGGAAACAGAGGAATCTTTCCTTTCTTTCTTTTTCTTTTTATTTTTTATTTTTATTTTTATTTTTTTATTTTTTTGAGGTTAAGAGTGGAAATTTAATAGGTGAAAGAGCTCTCTGCTGCAGAGAGGGGTCCCGGAGAAATGGGTTGCCAGATCGACAGTGAAATACAGAGGGTGTTATAGGTGCTTGGGTGAGGAGGCAGTGTTTGATTTACGTAGGGTGCAAAAGATTGGTTGAACCAGATGTGCCATTTGCATAGGGTAAGAAAAACTGGTTAGGATTAGGTGTCCCACTTCTACAGGATGTAAATTTCTGGCTGCCCCCACCCTAATCTTTTACTATGCAAGCAGGTCCTCAGACAGAGGAATCTTTTAAAACCGTAAATTGAAGGCTGTCACTCCCTGCTTCACAGCGTCTGGTGGTCTCCTGCTGGACTTCAGGAAACTTCCAAACTCCTTGCCATGACAGGTCATCATGAGGCTCTTGTGACCCACCCCTCCCACCCTCCAAACAAACACTCCAGCCTTCTTTTCCTTCCTTGAACATGCTGCCTTTTCTCTGCCTCTGGGCCTTTGCACATGCTCTTCCCTATCCCGGGAATGCTGTGCCTGCAAGTCTTTGCAGGTCTCTGCTTAAGCGTCAGATCCCCAGACTGTCTCCTCTACCAGTCTCCCTGACCGTCCTGCCTGACACAGCCCACTCCCCTCAGCCCATCACCACCCACTCATCCACATCACCAACCCCACCTGAGCTCTTTTAAATGACTTCTCAATGAGAATAGAGCACTTTGTCATCCTTCCCTATCACTCTCTCACCAGTGCCTAGAACAGTGCCTGATACGAAACGTACATGTGTAGAATGAATGAACTTCATTAACTTGAGCAGTTCACAGCTGACAATATTTACTCTTTTCATTGAAGAATGCACATTTTCCATTTAATGCTGGACATTAGCAAATTATTATTTTATCTGCAAACCTATCATTGAGCCACTGCCAAATGAACGTGTGTGTGTGTGTGTGTGTGTGTGTGTGTGTGTCTAGCTTCTGGATGTGGTTGAAAATAAATCACATGGAGGGAACACTCATGGGAGAAGGGAATAGGGCCCACATGGCCGCTGTTCCATTGCCTCTTCCCCTCACTTTGTACTTCTCAGTGTCCCAAGCTTTAAGAAAACGTTTAAAAACAGGCCAGGTGCAGTGGCATACACCTGTAATCCCAGCACTTTGGGAGGCTGAGGTGGGTAGATCACCTGAGATCCGGAGTTCGAGACCACTCTGGCTGTGATGGTTAATCTCTGTCTCTGCTAAAAATACAAAAACTAGCCAGGCATGGTGGCAGGTGCCTGTAATCCCAGCTACTCAGGAGTCTGAGGCAGTACAATTGTTTGAATCCAGGAGGCAGAAGTTGCAGTGAGCTAAGACCACGCCACTACATTCCAGCCTGGGCAATAGAGCAAGACTCCTCTCAATAATAATAATAATAATAATAATAATAATAATAATAATAATAAATTCTCTGCTTAGAAAGCTCAACAGGCTGGGCACAATGGCTCATGCCTGTCATCCCAGCACTTTGGGAGGCTGAGGTGGGTGGATCACCTGAGGTCGGGAGTTCAAGACCAGCCTGACCAACATAGACAAACCCCATCTCTACTAAAAATACAAAACAATAATAATAATAATAATAATAACAACTGGGCATGGTGGCGCAAATCCTGTAATCCCAGCTACTTGAGAGGCTGAAGTAAGAGAATCTCTTGAACCCGGGAGACGGAGGTTGTGGTGAGCCAAGATCATGTGCCATGGCACTCCAGCCTAGGCAACAAGAATGAAACCGCATCTCAAAAAAAAAGAGCTCAGCAGATCTGAGATTTCAGACAATTGGTTTCTGAGTCAATGCTATCCCCCAGAGATTCGGCTTCCCAGCAAAGCATCAGAGAGGAGCTCAGCAAGGCGCCCTGGGGCCCCACGGCCATTCAACGCCAGGGTTCTCAGCAAGTGGCCTGCAGAGTCCCCTTGGTTAAACTCCCAGCAGGGCCAGAGCCTGGACCGGCCTTCTAGCCCACCTGCCAGCCACGTTCCCATCCTGCTCCTTGTCTGCACGGCCACGCTCTGCCTCGTTCAAGAGGACTCGGAGGGAGGTGGCTGTGCTCATGAGCTAGCTCAGCAACTTTGGGTCCTCTGCGTTTCTATTTTGTACAAATCGTGATGATCTGGGAAGAAAGCGGGAATTGATTTGCGGGCCTTTCAAAGGCTGGGTAGGCTTAGGAGGATCCCGAATTAGAAGCCCCACAGTGCCCCCTGCTGGCCACGACCTCTGCTGTTTCCTTCCTGCAGCTTTTCGGAGGTGATGTCTTTGCTCCCCAGGAACCAAAGACCGGAGTGAGCTCAGAGAAGGCGCAGTCATTCGAGTTCCCAGACAGGGCAAGATCTGCCCAGGGAGGGACCGTGGGATCCCAGACCCTAATACGGCCATTCACATTTACGGTCACTAAGTTCCCCACTATGCTAAAGGCGGGGATGCCTTGCTTCAAGAAAATACTTGACACTCCTTCCTTCCCCAAAATAATGTGCCCGCTCAACTGTTTTTAACAATGGTGGCTATTTGTAGCACAAAAGGGTTCTTGGTTGAGCCAAAACTCCTTTAAATAGCGAGTCCCATTGGGCTATTCAAGTGTTGATTTATGTACCATAGAGAATATAGAAACTTCATGTTGAATATCAAGCGTCTCTATCCACTGAAAACTGGCGACGAAAACAAAGCAGACCCAAAAAAGCAATCGTAGCTCAAAGGGTGCAAAGGATTTGATTTCTCAAAGTGTGACTGATCCTAGAGTTTGCAGCTATTGTATGAAATGCGGTACATCTGTACTGAAACTTTTTTTTTGAGACAGAATCTCACTCTGTTGCCCAGGCTGGAATGCAGTGGTGCAGTCTCGGCTCACTGCAACCTCCACCTCCTGGATTCAAGTGATTCTCCTGCCTCAGCCTCCCAAATAGCTGGGATTACAGGCACGTGCCACAACACTCAGCTAATTTTTGTATTTTTAGTAGAGACGGGGTTTTACCATGTTGACCAGGCTGTCTCGAACTCCCGACCTCAAGTGATCCGCTCACCTCGGTCTCCCAAAGTGCTGGGATTATAGGCATGAGCCACCACACCCAGCCTGCACTGAAACTTTTTAAAAGACCAGAAGAATCACATTCTGAGAGTTTATTCTTGAAAGCTGTTTGATTAGCACAAGCCTCCTGAACTTGAAATACAAAAATTGACGCAGAAAGGTGTAACCTTGCAGGCATCAATGACTTCCTTCTGTGTTTTCTTTTTTGATCTCTCCATTTTGTAATATTGGTGAATTTATGCATAGGAGAAACCCAAGCTTAAAGACAAGTCTTTTTTCCTTTACCGAGTCGATAGGAGGAGCCCTGGTTGCAACAGTGGGTGGGGAGGGGAATTCCTAGGAGAGACAGAATTTCACAGATTGGAGACACCACAGCCTGTGGTCCCAGTGAGGTGCTAGACCCTGAGAGGACCCCTGTTGCTACTGAGAATGGGGTGCTAGAATCCAAAAGAAGGGAATTAAGAAGGAGAGAGTGAAGAGCCATGCCCAACATTGCTTCCAGGTCCAGTTGGGCCCTAGGAAGCAGCCATTGGATTTGCGGTGAGGAGTTCACTGGTGACCTTGATAAAAGCCTCAGTGAAGATTGATGGCTGGGCACTGTGGCCCTTACCTGTAATCCTAGCACTTTGGAAGGCCGAGGTGGAAAGATTGCTTCAGCTCACAGTTTGAGATCAGCCTGGGCCACATAGGGAAATCCCATCCGTACAAAAAAATCCCAAAATTAGCCAGGCATGACAGCGTGTGCCTGTAGTCCCAGCTACTGGGGTGGCTGAGGCTCCCCAGTAGCTGGGATTACAGACGCATGCCACAACACCCAGCTAATTGCTTGAGCGTGGGAGATCGAGGCTTCAGTGAGCCATGATCGTGCCACTGCACTCCAGCCAGGGCGACAGAGCAAGACCCTATCTTACCAACATCATAACAATGGTCATAGAGTGACGGGGCACAGGCTTGATCAGCACAGGTCTCTGCCAGAATGGGAGAAGGAGGATTGCAGTCAACAAGGACAGACAAAGGAGCAAAGAAAAGGGGGAGGTAGCTGGTGGGCCTTGTCCCACGGTTCCTCTGCAATTTCCTGCAGCCGCTCAACCATCTTCGTGCGTCTCCACACCAACGGGAATCAGGAGCTGCAGTACCAGCCTGGGGACCACCTGGGTGTCTTCCCTGGCAACCGTGAGGACCTCGTGAACGCCCTGATCGAGCGGCTGGAGGCCGCGCCCCCGGTCAACCAGACGGTGAAGGTGGAGCTGCTGGAGGAGCGGAACACGGCTCTGGGTAACGTTCCCGGGGCCCTTCCCGGCTCCAGTGAGCTGCAGAGGCAGCGGCCGTCTGGGAAGAAGACATCCATTCTTCCCAACCACCGATCCAGGCAGGAGGGTGGGTCTCTGTCACTGACAGCCTGTGAGACTTTCTCATGGCTGATCCCCCTTGGCCCAACCAGCCAAGCAAATAAATGCCCACGGTGCCAGGCCATCGATGGCTCACCTTTGGGATCAGGGGGCTGCTACCCTCCTTCATTGACTAGACACGGACTTTAGCACTAGACACTCTCACTTCCCATCCTCACCACTACCCCTTGGGAAATCTCTAGTAGCCCGTTGCCCACCAAGCGAATAACAGCCGAAGTCTGATCCTGCCTCCTCTTAGAATCCAAAGGTACTGTAGGAAGCTCGATGGCCAACTAGGAAATGAACCCACATTTTTTTCAGCTGCTTAAGTGTCCATCCTTGAAATTCATATTGAGGAACTTTCAAAGGCAAATGGGTCTCAGGAGCACAGGTGTGCTCAGGGGTCAGGGACAAGGAATCGCAGTGACCTTACCTAGCAGACCATGATACATGACCATCACTGTTACAAAAGAGCAAGGATGTAGTCAGCACAAAATGTCAAAGTAGCGAATAGTCAAAGGCTGTTGAAAACCTCTTAGGAAGGCACTGCTTTAGAGAGACTTACCCTCTCTTAGGAAATCCTAGCTGAGCGACATGGCTTACGCCTGTAATCCCAACACTTTGGGAGGCCAAGGCAGGGAGGTCACTTGAGCCCAGGAGTTCAGGACCAGCCTGGGCAACATGGCAAAACCGCATCTCTACAAAAAAAAAAAATATATATATATATATACTATATATATATACGCACACACACACACACACACACACAAATATATATATATACACACACACAAAAAGTAACCAGGCATCAGGCCAGGCATGCTTGCTCACTCCTGTAATCCCAGCACTTTGGGAGGCCAAGGTGGGTGAATCACCTGAGGTCAGGAGTTCGAGATCAGCCTGGCCAACATGGTGAAACCCCATCTCTACTAAAAATATCAAAAATTAGGCGTGGTGGCGGGCACCTGTATTCCCAGCTACTTGGGAGGCTGAGGCAGGAGAATCGCTTGAACCCAGGAGGCAGAGGCTGCAGTGAGCCCAGATCATGCCATTGCACTCCAGCCTGGGCAACAAGAGTGAAAGTCCATCTCAAAAAAATAAAAAATAAAATAAAATTAGCCAGGCATGGTGGCACACGCCTATAGTCCCAGCTACTCAGGAGTCTGAGGTGGGAGGATCACTTGAGCATGGGAGTTCAAGGCTCTGGTGAGCTGTGATTGCACCACTGCACTCTAGCCTGGGTGACAGAGTGAGACCCTGTCTCAAAAAAATTAATAACTAAAATAAAAATAAATCCAACCCAGCCAGTTCTTCCTCTGTGTTGAAATAGAGCTTTTTATTTGGGGTTGAATCCCTGATGAAGGAGAGACTTACATATAGAGACCATATTTGATGAAAAGTGTATAGAAGGAGTACAATATAGTTGTTCAAACAAGGTCTGAAGCCACACTGCCTAACTTCACGCTTATGAGCTGTGTGACCTCGGGCAAATTCCTTAACCTCTCTGTGCTTCTATTTTTCTCAGTGGGGATAAATATAACACTAACCATCTTGGATTGTTGTGATGACTAAATGAGTTGATAATATGAAATACTCAGGCTGGACATGGTTACTCAAGCCTGTAATCCCAGCACTTTTTGAGGCTGAGGCAGGGGGACCACCTGAGGTCAGGAGTTCGAGACCAGCCTGACGAACAGGAAGAAATCCCTCTCTACGAAAAATACAAAATTAGCCAGGCATGGTGGTGCATGCCTATAATCCTAGGTACTCAGCAGGCTGAGGCAGGAGAATCGCTTGAACCCAGGAGGCAGAAGTTGCAGTGAGCCGAGACTGAGCCACCGCACTCCAGTCTGGGCAGCAAGAGCAAAATTCTGTCTCAAAAAATAATAATAATAATATAAAACATTAATAATAGTAATCAGCATATAGAATGTGCTAGATAAATGTTAGTGTTTATAATGACAAACCCTAACATCCCATTCGGGGGTGGGAGGCTGCTGCTATGTGAAGACACATGGGGCCAAAATAGGCTTGTCTCTGTCACACGCAGCTGGAGGCTCGTTGTGTAGAACGCCAGTGGACTGTGTCATGCTATCTTAATACTCGTCCCCTCTCTTCATTTTTTTTCTTAATTGTTGGATTCCTTTGCCTAATTACTTTAGGATTTGCTTCTTGCACACGTGAGGTCCTCTGGATGCTGGGCATGGAAGGTGGAGAGCTAGGGGGTTGCTTGGCTGCAGAGCCACCCCGCTCCCCTGGCCCCATCCTCCGCTCTAGGAGCAGACCCGGACCCCCAACTTGGACTCAAGCCCTCCCACACCCACCCCTCACCCCGCACGTACCTCCACAGGCGTCATCAGTAACTGGACAGACGAGTGCCGCCTCCCGCCCTGCACCATCTTCCAGGCCTTCAAGTACTACCTGGACATCACCACGCCGCCAACACCCCTGCAGCTGCAACAGTTTGCCTCCCTAGCCACCAGCGAGAAGGAGAAGCAGCGTCTGCTGGTCCTCAGCAAGGTGGGTCCCAAGGCTTTGCACCACGCGAGGGGGTGCCTTTCACCTTCTCAACATTTGAGTTGAAAACTGTTATTGCACTAGGCTTCCGGCAGACGGCAGTCTTGAGCCAAGGGGGCCGTTATTTGCAGTAGGTCGCCATACTGGCTGGTCCAATTCCCCCAGTTCTAAGGCCTGGCAGAAAGAGTGACTCCCTTGAATCAAACAGGTCCCTGGCTACAAGAGAAATTGCAATTCTAACTCTACCTTCCCTCTGGAATCTTGAGCTTCCATTAGTGCCATCTTAGCCCCCATGCTTAGGAGAAAAAGAAACAGAATCTCACCATACCTTGGTTTAAAGATTAGGTTTTTTTCTTGTTTTTTGATTCTTTTTTAATTTTTATTTTTATGCATACTTGGTAGGTATATATATTTGTGGGGTACATGTGATGTTTCGATACAGGCATACGATGTGTAATAATCACATCAGACTGAATGGGGTGTTCATCCCCTCAAGCATTCATCATTTCTTGTGCTGGGAACATTCCAATTCCACTCTTTTAGTTATTTTTATATATGCAGTAAATTATTGTCGACTATAGTCACCTTGTTTAGGAAATCTACATCTTATTCTTTTTTTTTTTTTTTTTTTTGTTCTGAGACAGAGTGTCACTCTCTAGCCCAGGCTAGAGTGCAGTGACGTGATCTCAGTTCACTGCAACCTCCATTTCCCAGGCTCAAAGGATGGATTCTTGTGCCTCAGCCCTCTGAGTAGCTGGAATTACAGATGCCTGCCACCATGCCCAGCTAACTTTTGTAGCTTTTTTTCTCAGTAGAGATGGAGTTTCACTGTCAAACCCCTGACCTCAGGTGATCCACCCGCTGTGGACTCCCAAAGTCCTGGAATTACAGGCGTAAGCCACCGCACACAGCCTAGATTCGATTCCTTCTATTCCTGTACCCATGAACCATCTCCACTTCCCCACCCCACCCACTACCCTTCCCTGCATCTGGTAGCCCTCCTTCTACTCTCCATCTCCATAACTTCATTTGCTTTTAGTTTTTAGCTCCCACAAATGAATGAGAACAAGCAAAAGTTGTCATATTGTGCCTTGCTTCTTTCACTTAACACGATGTCCTCCGGTTCCATCCCTGTGGCTGCAAATGATAAGCTTTTGCCGATTCAGAGGAGCTGCAGGTGGGACTACTACAGATCAGAGGTCTCTGATTGTAAAATGAACCAAATGTAACCTCTACCTTCCTTGCTTAGAAACCCTGGGCTCAAGACCAGGCGCAATGGCTCATGCCTGTAATCTCAGCACTTTGGGAGACCAAGGCAGGTGGATCACCTGCGGTCAGGAGTTGGAGACCAGCCTGGCCAACATGATGAAACCCCATCTCTACTAAAAATACATTTTAGCCAGGGAATGATGGAGCATGCCTGTAATCCCAGCTACTTGGGAGGCTGAGGCAGGAGAATCACTTGAATCCAGGAGGCAGAGGTTGCAGTGAGCCGAGATCATGCCATTGCACTCCAGCCTGGGCAACAAGAGCAAAACTCTGTCTCGGGAAAAAAGAAAAAAAGAAAGAAGCCCTGGGCTCACCTGCCCCAGCCCACTGTAAAGCCTTGCTCAGTAAGAATTCTACCCAGGAGAGCCAACTATACTCCTCCCAGTGCGGAGGGTCCTTCCCAATAAGCAAGCCCCCAACACAGGATGACTTAGCTTTCTTCTGCCGTCCAGGAGAGGGGATTGAATGGTGTGCAGCAAGGAAGAGGCTCATTAGTGACTGCATAATATTTAGAAATATGAAAATAAATACCAGAAGGAACACTTAAAGAGCTGTAAGTAGTTACCTCTGGGGAGCTGGAAGCAGATGGCAGAGGTAGAACAGGAGACCATTATTTTTAATCATAAGCTTTGCAAAATTATTGAACTTTTTAGACTATCTGCAAGTATAATTTTGACTTACAACTTTTAATTAATGGAGGAGGGTGGCTAATAGGAAGAAAGACCATGGATCGCACTGACCTTATTAGACTGCACCATTTTTACCTTATTTAAAGTAGATTTTGTGCACAGTGGCTCGTGCCTGTAATCCCAGCACTCTGGGAGGCAGAGATGGAAAGATTGCTGGAGACCAGGAGTTTGGAACCAACCTGGGCAATATAGAGAGACCCCATCTCTAAAAAAAAAAAAAAATTAAATTAGCTGGGTGTCATGGCACATGCCTGTAGTCCCACCTACTCGGGAGGCTGAAGTGGGAGGATCACTTGAACCCAGGAGTTCAAGGCTGCAATAAATCATGAGCTTGCAACTATACCGCAGCCTAAGTGAAAGAGCAAGACCCCATTTCAGTCAATCAATCAATAGTAGAATTTGATATAACCCATATGTATTAGTTCATTTCTTCCAAAAAATACAGACTTCAAAATAGGATTAAATGAGCAAGGACTTTTATTGGGGGAAATGCCTGTGTGACAGAAAATGAAAACGGGATCAGATAAGGCTGGAAGAACCTTCAGACCTCAAAACAAATCTAACCCCACACAAAGAAAAAGGAAGAAAGGTTGGACAGGAATGTTCTAGACTGCAGTGCAGCTTAAGGAAGGCCCAGCAAGGTCCTGGAGGAGTCCTGGGGCCTCTCGTGCTTGGTCATTGGCGGGAAGCAGCCTGTGGGAAGCCAGCGTGGCACCAACAGGGTGACGGATGTCAGTTTCAGGTGATGTCAGTTTCAGAGTTGCGCGAGGCCAGGGCTCTTGGTCCATTTTGCTCCTGCAGCTGCAGGCACAATGTCAAGGATGCCATTGCCTATTAATACGGCCAGGACAGTCTTTAGGAACGTGGGGAAAAGCTTTGTTATACCATGTACTCCCACCCTGGTCTCAGAAACTGAGCCTTCTGTGCCAGCAATCAGAGACTGCCTAGGGCATCTTCTGAGATTAAGGAAAAATAACTCCAGAGCTCCAGAGTGTTCCTCTGTTGCCTGGTTACAGCTGGGCTTTGCCGTTAACATGTCCCCAAACGCTGTCCTCTACACACCCCAACATGATTTTCTGGGGTTGCTGCTCACCGTCATGAACATGACCCAAGCTCTCCAAAGACGCATCTCTAGACTCTGCAACTAGCAAATCACAGGTCTGCACTGGGTGCCTGCCACTCCCCGCGTGAGTCATGACTCCCTTCTATAGTGCGTCTCTCCTGACTTCAGGAGTGTGTAGTGTCTCGGAACACAGATTCTGAGGACACGCTGTCTAGAGCGATGGTCAGTTTCACCACCTAGTTTGGGACTCATCTATAAAACTGGAGAATAGTAATACCTATTTCATAAGGTCCTCCTGAGAATTAAAATGTGGCATAGAATAATTTCTGTTCAAGTGTTAACTATTATTGCCTGCTTGCTTTTCTTGTCTTTCTTTTTCTTTCTTTCTCTTTCCCTTCTTCCTTCCTTCCTCTTTCTCTTTCACTTTCTTCCCTCCCTCTCTCTCTCTCTCTTTCTTTCTTGTTTCTTTCTTCTGACAGGGTCTCACTCTGTCACCCAGGCTGGAGTGCCCTGGCACAATCACAGCTCACTGCAGCCTCCAGCACCTGAACTCAAGCAGCCCTCCCACCTCAGCCTCCCAAGTAACTGGGGCACTGCAGACATCCACCACCACATCCAACTACTTTTTCTTAACTTTTTGTAGAGACAGGGTCTTACTATGTTTCCCAGGCTGGCCTTGAACTCCTAGCTTCAAGTGATCCTCTCTCCTCGGCCTCCCAAAGCACTGGGATTACAAGCATGAGCCACCGCACCTGACATCTTTTATTTTGCCTTCTTCCTGGATCCCCTGAGGTCCTCATGGGAAATATATAGCAGCCGGGTTCAAGCTTGTCTGTCCCTCATCTTGGCACAGGGTTTGCAGGAGTACGAGGAATGGAAGTGGGGCAAGAACCCCACCATCGTGGAGGTGCTGGAGGAGTTCCCGTCCATCCAGATGCCGGCCACCCTGCTCCTGACCCAGCTGTCCCTGCTGCAGCCCCGCTACTATTCCATCAGCTCCTCCCCAGACATGTACCCGGACGAAGTGCACCTCACTGTGGCCATCGTTTCCTACCGCACCCGAGGTGGGCAGAGTTGCTGGGAGAGCCGCCGCCTCTGCATTTTCCCCCCAGTGGCCTCTGGAGGGCTCCCCAAACCACTGCCTGCAGGCTAAATCCCAAATCCCTGGGCAGAGACTCACCCACAAGACCAGAAAAATGGGGGAAGAAACAGCAGGTGAACTGTCCCCTGGGGTAGAGCCAAGCCTGAGCAGAATTAGGAAAGAGGCAAGATGGGCATTTGCAATGGCGCCCCCTCGTATCCCCAGAGCAGCCACTAGAACAAGCCGCCATTGCTCATTCCCTGGGAGCGCGCTCTGCTGTATCATGCCCTGCTGGTTGTAAGTGAGATAACCCAAGCTCGGCCCTGTATTTTTCCTCCGAGATAAAGCGATTAAAATGCACAGTGCCCAAAACAGCTCTGAGTCCAGGATGCCAGCAAGCCGCCAAAAGCACCCTTCAATAGGGAAAGATGTGAATCCGACCCACCCCTACCCAAAAGAACCCCGGCCCGTTGCACAGGCTTGAAGTCACCCCAGCTATGCCATTTCCTCTTCCCCTTCAGAAGGAGGGATCCTAGAGAGGAATTCCGAAGGATCCACTTGGCACTGGGCCTGGGAGCATTCTGCATTGGAGGGAGGGAGAGGGGAGGCTGTGCTTGGGAGCAGTGGGTGACCCTGACTGCCCTGGTTATTCTGCTAGATGGAGAAGGACCGATTCACCACGGCGTGTGCTCCTCCTGGCTCAACCGGATACAGGCTGACGAAGTGGTCCCCTGTTTCGTGAGGGGGTGAGTAAGAAGTGGAGAAAAATGAGCGATCATCTCAAATCTGCACACTGATGTTGCAAGTTGGGGTAGGTGGGCCAGTCTGAAGGGTTCTGGAGAGATGGCTGGGTGAGACAGGAGGAAGACCAACGTCCCGCGTCTCTCTTAGTTGTTACGGAAATGGCATGAGACTAGCACAGTGAGCTAGGCAAGTCCTCTGGTCAATGTCAGGTCAATGCAACACGCATTTATCTTGGGCGTGTACTGGGCCAGATGCTGGAGCTATCGTGGAAAATCCAGCAAATACAGTCTCCACCATCATGGACTTTATGGGCTAGTGGAAAGTCTAGCCAAATTCTACTGGTCAGTCCCAATTCATCCCAGTTTCCTAGAGACGGGAAAAATCTAATCACTCCCATTAATTGGAGATTTTCCCCCAAAACTCAGTTTTAAAGGCTATAGCTGAGCCTAGACCTGTTATACTTAACCTGTTTTATTGATCATTAACTTCTCTACCTGAAGAATGGCTTTGGCCAATTTTTCTCAACCGTTGAGGTTAGAATGTTCACAATACCATTGATAATGATCTAAATACCATTGGCCTCAGAGTCCTCTGGGGTGTTTCAAGCATAGAGTCCTGAGCGCAGATGTACTGCATGGTCCAGGAATCTGCACCTCGAACATCTCCAGGTGATTCTTTCATGCCCTGAAGTCTGTGACTGCTTGATTTAAATATCTCATGGTTGATTAAATCAGTGGCTCTGGGCTGGGCGCAGTGGCTCAGGCCTGTAATCCCAGCACTTTTGGAGGCCAAGGCAGGCAAATCAGTTGAGGTCAAGAGTTCAAGACCAGCCTGGCCAACATGACGAAACTCCATCTCTACTAAAATACAAAAAAAGTAGCTGGGTTGTGGTGGCATGGACCTGTAATTCCAGCTACTTGGGAGGCTGAGGCAGGAGAATCACTTGAACCTGAGAGGCAGAGGTTGCGCTGAGCCAAGATCACACCACTGCACTGTAGCCTGGATGGGAGAGCAAGCAGCCGTCAAAAAAAAGAGGGGGAGAGGGGGAAGGGACGGCAAAAGAAAAACAGGAGAGAAGGGGAGGGGAGGGGAGGGAAGAGGAGGGAAGGAGAGTGATTTTTGCACCACCCCGCACCTGCCACCCAGGGACATTTGACAATGTATGAAGACATTTTGGGTGTCACAACTCATGTGTGCTCCTGGCATCTAGTGGGTGGAAGCTGGGGATGTTGCTCAGTACCCTACAATGCAAGGACAGTGCTATGACAAAGGAGTGTCCCCCCCAAGTGACAATAGCACTAATATAGATAAACTCTGGGTTGAATTTGCTGAGCTCAGCAGTGAGACGACTTGGGGCGTGGAGGAATAGCCAGACCCTAGGGATCCCCATTTTTGGAATTCCCCTAATCGGTGAGACTCCCACCCTGCAAAGGGGTACCTGGCCCCGGCTGAAGAGCTGTAAGTCTCATTGTATGTCTGCCGAAGATGGCCACCTGGTCTACCTAAGATTCAATTGTTCTTGATCGGATGTGAGCCCTGCAAGACTTCTGACCCCCTCTTCCTTGCCCAGAGCACCCAGCTTCCACCTGCCCCGGAATCCCCAAGTCCCCTGCATCCTTGTTGGACCGGGCACTGGCATTGCCCCTTTCCGAAGCTTCTGGCAACAGCGGCAATTCGATATCCAACATAAAGGTGGGTTACAGTCCGGCAGCCACTGAGTTCCCACCCCCAGACCTGGGGAGGCCCAGCTGTGTCTCAGCAGCCCTGGAGAACAGTGAAGGTGTCTCTCCTTGGCCTCACTGCCTCAGAAAAGGCGGGCATGTAGCATCAACCTGACCCACGGGTGAAGTTCATGGTGTCATCCAAACAGCCTGTCCCAGGGCCTGAAATTCCATCCCCAGAGGACATTTCTTTGATTGTTAAGATGTGATCCCTTCAAAAAAAATTCAGTATCCTGGAAAACATAGTCATTAGTCCTTATCAAATGGCTATGCTTATGTAACTATTGCAAAGACTGTTATTCAAGAGCGAGTGCTATGTGAAAGACATAGCAAAATAGCTTTGGGAGAAGAGAGAGGGAAAGAAACCCAGATTGTGGCATGCATTAAACAAGGATTTATTGAGCATCTAATAAGTGCCAAACACTATAAGAGGCCCTGGGGGCATAGCAATGAATAAGACAGAAAAATAACTAAAATAGAAAGGAAAACCTTGACATTGATTTAAGGAATAATACGAAATATCAATCACTCAGTAAAAACTTGCCCCATGGAACCGTCATTCCAGTGGAATAGCTAACATTTATAAAGTACTTGCCAGGTACCAAGCAGGGTTTTAATGTTTCACATTCATTTCTCCCAACAGCCCTGTTATTTCCATTTTGCAAATAGGGAAGCAGAGGCTTAGAAAGTTGAGTACGTTGATGGCTCACACCTGTAATCCTAGCACTTTGGGAGGCCGAGGCGGGCAGATCATGAGGTCAGGAGTTTCAGACCAGCCTCACCAACATGGTGAAACCCTGTCTCTACCAAAAATACAAAAACTTAGCCAGGCATAGTGGCAGATGCCTGTAACCCCAGCTATTTGGGAGGCTGAGGCAGGTGGATTCGTTGAGGTCAGGAGTTCGAGACCAGCCTGGCCAATATGGTGAAACCCTGTCTCTACTAAAAATACAAAATTAGCCAGACATGGTGGCGCACATCTATAATCCCAGTTACTTGGGAGGCTGAGGCAGAAGAATCACTTGAACCCTGGAGATGGAGGTTGTAGTGAGCCAAAATCACACCACTGAACTCCAGCCTGGGCAACAGAGTGAGACTCTGTCTTAAAAAAGAAAGGAAGAGAAAAAAAAAGAAAAAGAAAGTTGAGTAAGTTGTTCATCACAGAGCTGAGATTTCAACCCAGGCTGTCTAGCTCCAGAGTCTGGGCTCTACTACCTGATGGAGGAGGCTCCTAAGTAGTCAAAGAGCAGAAGGAAAGATTGAGAGCTGGGAGGAAGGTCCACCAAAGTCTGAACACACTTCACCTCCTTCCTCAGTGTGTGCATGTGCGTGCATGTGAGCAGCTGTGTACGTTACATGTGTGTGCACCATACATCTGCCTGCCCCAGTGTTCATGAGCCTCTGTCTGCATGGCGCACACTAAGTTCCCAGCACTCCATCCCTGGCACCTCAGCCACCCCATACTTCAGGCAGAGAGCCACCAGTGACATGAGGTCTTCCTGGTCCTCAGGAATGAACCCCTGCCCCATGGTCCTGGTCTTCGGGTGCCGGCAATCCAAGATAGATCATATCTACAAGGAAGAGACCCTGCAGGCCAAGAACAAGGGAGTCTTCAGAGAGCTGTACACCGCCTACTCCAGGGAGCCAGACAAACCAAAGGTAACCCCCAGCCCGTCCACAGCCCCCCACCCAGCCCAACACGCAGCACACTGGTACACACGCATGTGTGTACACACTTCCACATCCCACTCAGAAACCCCTCACCCTCACTCTCAAGCTTCCTGATCTCCCCTCCATGAATTGCTCTGTGCTTCAGAAAGCATGAGTAGGGAAAATATCTATATAAAATATTTAACAGGCCGGGCACGGTGGCTTAAGCCTGTAATCCCAGCACTTTGGGAGGCCGAGGCGGGTGGATCACGAGGTCGAGAGATCGAGACCAACCTGGTCAACGTGGTGAAACCCCGTCTCTACTAAAAATACAAAAAATTAGCTGGGCATGGTGGTGTGTGCCTATAATCCCAGCTACTCAGGAGGCTGAGGCAGGAGAATTGCCTGAACCCAGGAGGCGGAGGTTGCGGTGAGCCGAGATCGCGCCATTGCACTCCAGCCTGGGTAGCGAAACTCCTTCTCAAAAAAAAAAAAAAATTTAACAGGCTTACGCCTGTAATCCCAACACTTTGGGAGGCCAAGGTGGGTGGATCACTTGAGGTCAGGAGTTCGAGACCAGCCTGCCCAACATGGTGAAACACCATCTCTAATAAAAATATAAAAAGTAGCTGGGCACGGTGGCTCACGCTTGTAGTCCCAGCACTTTGGGAAGCCGACGTGGGTGGATCAATTGAGGCCAGGGGTTTGAGACCAACCTGGCCAACATGTGAAATCCCATCTCTACTAAAAATACAAAAAAATTAGCCAGGTATGGTGGTGCATGCCTGTAGTCCCAGCTACTCAGGAGGCTGAGACAGGAGGATGGGTTGAACCAGGGTGGCAGAGGTTGCAGTGAGCTAAGATCATGCTACTGCACTCCAGCTGGGCCACAAGCAAGGCTCTGTCTCAAAAATAAAATAAAATAATAAAGATAAACAAATAAACATCATAGCCCATAAGAGGCAATACCAATCAGAATGGGCATGGGCCACAGGACTAAAGCTCCCATTGGCTCTTGGGGAGCTCTGGGGGTCCCAGGGAAGGAGTCAGGACATCTGAGGTGGAGGGGGGCACTCAGAGAGTCCAGGCAGTGTCTGTTTGATAGCTGGGGTGGGAGTACATCAGTCTTAAGAGTCACTACAGCCACGCCAGCATGTTCCAGCTGAGTATCAGCTTCATAGGGGAAGTTTCCTGGAGAAGTTAAAGACGTCCTGAGCAAACCAGTTCCCTAGAGCTGCACTAGACACCCTCTGTGCCCACCTCACACCCTCTTACCCGCCTTTTCTTCTTGCTGCTGTTACAGCAGCCGGCTCTGCAGAAGTGGAAGCTGGTGGCTTCTCCCCTCACCTGTATCTTTGCTATCCGCCCAGGGCTTCCCCAGCACCCTAGCATAGGAGGCCTGCAGTAACCAGCCGCACACCCGGAAGCGTGCAGGTGTTAACACCTGTTGACCCCTGGCCACCAGGAGAGAGGAGTGGGTAGTGGGTGCTCCCTGCCTTGCCCCTCTGCAGGGGATGACTCTGGGAAGCAGTCTATATGGCTCCCTGGAGGATCCTGGGCAGAGCGGAGCTGCAGTTGTCCAAAGAGTGGAGCAATGCATTCCTGCACCCTCCAACTGGCTTTCCCGCCTTCCCTATCTCACTCTTCCCAGTCCCTCATTCTTGTTCCCTGGGATCAGCTCACAAAAGACCCCACCTGCCCACAAGCCCCTGAAAAAGACTCTGCTTCCCAGGGGGACGTGGGCGATGGTGGGCACATTGCACAGCCCAGCCCCTTCTCACTGCCCTCTGCTCCCTGCAGAAGTACGTGCAGGACATCCTGCAAGAGCAGCTGGCAGAGTCGGTGTACCGAGCCCTGAAGGAGCAAGGGGGCCACATTTACGTCTGTGGGGACGTCACCATGGCCGCTGATGTCCTCAAAGCCATCCAGCGCATCATGACCCAGCAGGGGAAGCTCTCGGCGGAGGATGCCGGCGTGTTCATCAGCCGGATGAGGGTGCGTGACAGGCTGGTGTCCCAGGTTCCTTTGCCCAAATCCACTCTCCTGTCTTGCTGCTGAGGGTAGAGGATATAGGTGGTCCCAAACAATGACAGGGGAAGTAGAAGGATGGCTGGGCATGTATGATTGGAGGCTGTGGTACGTGAAAATAACGAGTGAGTGGACCTCTGGGTAGCTACCCAGAAACCATTCTAACCCAACTTCTCTTGCCTCCGCAGCTGCAGCTCTGCCCTGTGCAGTTGTGCGGGTTGAGCACTGCACAAAGAGATTCGAGGAGAACTGTGGAGCCCTCTATCTACTCAGTCTCTTTAGTGTGACCCTCAAGAGACACTTTTATAGATTCCCCCGGATTTTGCAGAGGAGTTAAAAACTCACCCCAGCCGGGTGCGGTGGCTCATGCCTGTAATCCCAGCACTGTGGGAAGCCAAGGCAGGCAGATCACCTGAGGTCAGGAGTTCAAGACCAGCCTGACTAACATGGTGAAACCCCATCTCTTCTAAAAATGCAAAAATTAGCCGAACGTGGTGGCAGGCACCTGTAGTCCCAGCTACTTGGGAGGCTCAGGCAGGAGAATCACTTGAACCCGGGAGGCAGAGGTTGCAGTGAGCCAAGATGGCGCCATTGCCCTCCAGCCTGGGTGACGAGACTGAAACTCCATCTCGGAAAAAAAAAAAAAAAAAAAAACGTACCCCAACTGAAAATGAACCCACTCTACAGATGAGTGACTTTCTTCAAAATCTTCTGGACTAAGGGAAGCTGGAACCTAGTGCATGATTGTGCCTGGCTTGCCGGACACACGCTCCCAACCACTGTCCATCCTCAGCATCGAGACGCATTTTCCCCTTGTTTGATCCTCAAAGACACTGGCCTTTGAGAATATTGACTGCCCGCCAAAGGAGCTCCCATAGCTTGGTAAATTCTCAGATGTCACAAGTCAGTCAGCCCTTGGGTCGTTTCTGGAGGCTCCAGGGGAGGTTATTCTGTTTCTGAGTTTTTTTCTGGGCAACGTTGAGCCGAGATGCTCATCTCCAGAGAAACTCATACATGTCCCAGGTGTCTCCACGGTGGGCAGCTGTGGGGGTGCCCTGAGTGCTAAGTGGCCACTGGTCCTTTCCTCCCCTTTCTTCCGGTCTCCTAGGCTGTGGCATTTTGTACTAAACCCAGCCTTGCCCAGACCTAAACCTGCAGAAGCAGGTTGGAGGGAGGAAAGTGGGAAATGGTGAGGTTTCCATTTGACCTCGTCACTCCTTTTCACCTGAGAATCCAGCGAGTAGCAGCGGTGTTTCCAGATGGCAACCTAATGCTCTTTGCCAACGGGGCTACTTCCCAGAGAACAGTTGCCCCATGTCCCAGAGGACAGTTTTGCTGAGCAGAGTCTTAGAGATCAAAGGTAGCTTGGGGACACTGGCTTCAGCCTCATCTCTCTAGGAATCATCTTCCTTAGGTATCTTCCATTCCAGGCGTCAGGCGAGTCTGCCCCCTCTCCAAGCCCTTGTCTGCCATTTGAGAGCTGTTTTCTGGATGTTTCCGTCTTCCAGGATGACAACCGGTACCATGAGGATATTTTCGGAGTCACCCTGCGCACATACGAAGTGACCAACCGCCTTAGATCTGAGTCCATTGCCTTCATTGAAGAGAGCAAAAAAGATACCGACGAGTAAGCTGGCTTCATCCCTGGGCAAGGGGCGGGAAGAGCCCTCTCTTCTAGGTCCTAACGGGCAGGGATGTCTGGCTTTCCCATGATGGGGTCCTCAGAACAGCGGCATCAGCACCATCTGAGGATGTGTTCAAAACGCAAATTACCAGGCCGCCCCAGACCTGCTGGTTCTGAAACTCAGGAGTTAGGATGAAGCAGTTTACATTTTTCTTTCTTTTCTTTTTTTTTTTTCTTTTATTTTTGAGAAGGAGTCTTGCTCTGTCACCCAAGCTAGAGTGCAGTGGCGTGATCTCGGCTCACTGCAACCTCCGCCTCCCGGGTTCAAGCGATTCTCCTGCCTCAGCCTTATGAGTAGCTGGAGCTGCAGGTGCAAGCCACCACGCCTGGCCAGTTTTTTATATTTTTAGTAGAGACAGGGTTTCACTGTGTTAACCAGGATAGTCTCCATCTCCTGACCTCATGATCGGCCCACCTTGGCCTCCCAAAGTACTGGGATTACAGGCGTGAACCACCATGCACAGCCAGTAGCTTGCATTTCAACGAATTCTCCAGGGGAATCCTGAGACCCCATCCAGTGTGGGAGGGAACCCCGGCTTTGGGTGCCACCTTCTGTCTGGGGCACCCCCTAGCGGAATGACGGCTCTTGCATCTGGGAAGTTGCATCTTTTTTTTTTTTTTTTTTTTTTTTTTTTAGACATTGTCTTGCTCTGTCACCCAGGCTGGAGTGCAGTAACACAGTCTCAGCTCACTGCATCCTCCCCCTCCCGGACTCAAACGATTCTCATGCCCCAGCCTCCTGAGTAGCTGGGACTACAGGCACCACCACACTTGGCCAATTTTTGTATTTTTAGTAAAGATGGGGTTTCACCATGTTGGCCAGGCTGGTCTCGAACTCCTGACCTCAAGTGATCTGCTTGCCTCGGGCTCCCAAAGTGCTGGAATTATAGATGTGAGGCACCATGCCCAGCCGAATCTGTGACATTTCTATCAGAAAAATCTTTCTTGTTTGTTTTTTACCTATTGGGGTTTAGCATCAGATTTAGGGCCAGGGTTTCTTCTACAAAAGTGTTTGAACGCTACTCATTTAGGAAAGTGGGAGAAGAACAGGCTCCCCCTGGAGCCGTACGGAGGTCTGGCACTCAGTTTTTGTGTCCTTTCCACTGGCTTCCTCACCCGCTAAATGGCTGGGGCTTTCTCGTCAATGCAAATTACAATTCATATGATTTTGACAATTTCACTGAACCTCTAGAAATTCCTGAAAACAGGCTGAGGCACCAGGAGATTGGGAGTGCATCTCACGAACTTGAATTCCAAGGCACAGCAACCTTGATTGTAATCTCACTTCCCAATGCTCCCTGCCCCAGTTCCTGCCACAGGTCACCTGGAAACGACCCCTGTGTGCCCTTTACTTTAAATTAGGTGGAGATTCAGCTGTCTCTTTATTCAGTAGCACAAGGCATACACTCATTTCTTAAATTTGTCATCGTGTTTGTTTTCTCCTTACAATGACACAGCAGTCTCAAAAACATACTGTTGTGGCCAGAAGACTCACATCATTGCCTTTAAGGTCACAACTCCCTGAGTTGTCAAAAGCCTTTAAGGCCAGATGTGGCGGCTCATGCCTATAAACCCAGCACTTTGGGAAGCTGAAGTGGGTGAATCGCTTGAGCCCAGGAGTTCAAGATCAGCCTGGGCAACATAGGGAGACCCTGTCTCTACAAATAATTTAAACATTGGCAGGGCATGGTGGCATGTGCCCGTGGTCCCCACTACTTGGGAGGCTGAAGCAGGAGGATGGCCTCAGCCCAGGGAGGTCAAGGCTACATAAGCCATGATTGCACCACTGCACCCCAGCCTAGGCAACAGAGCAAGACCCTGTCTAAAAAAAAAAAAAAAAAAAAAAAAAAAAAAAAAAAAAAAAACCTTTTTGGCCAGGTACAGTGACTCACACCTGTAATCAGCACTTTGGGAGGCCAAGGTGGGTGGATCACTTGGCCTAGGAGTTCAAGACCAGCCTAGGCAACATGGCAAAACCCTGTCTCTACTAAAAACACAAAAATTAACCAGGCATGGTAGCATGTGCCTGTAATCCCAGCTCCTCAGGAGGCTGAGGCACAAGAATCACTTGATCACACCACTGCACTTCAACCTGGGCGACAGAGTGAGACTCAGTCTCAAAAAAAGAAAGAAAAAACTCTTTTAAATGTTTCTTTTCCTGGCCAGTTGTCTTTGTGAGCATTCATTCATTCATTCATTCTTTCTTTCAAAACAAGACCCTGCTAGGTGCCAGGTCCTGTCCAAGACACTAGGGCTACAGAATAAATGAAAGAGATAGGCTGGGCGCAGCGGCTCAAGCCTGTAATCCCAGCCCTTTGAGAGGCTGAGGCAAACAGATCACCTGAGGTCAGGAGTTGGAGGCCAGCCTGGCCAACATGGTGAAACCCCCGTCTCTATTAAAAATACAAAAAGTAGCCGAGCATGGTGGTGGACACCTGTAATCCCAGCTACTTGGGAGACTAAGGCAGGAGAATCGCTTCAACCCTGCTGAGGTTCCGTGAGAGGTGGAGGTTGCAATGAACCAGGATGGCGCTACTGCACACCGACCTAGGCGACAGAGCAAAACTCCATCTCAAAAAAGAGAGACAGAGAGAGAGAGAGAGAGAGAGAGAGAGAGAGAGAGAGAGAGAGAGAGAGAGAAAGACGACGAAGCCCCTGAGCCCAGAGCATGGGTGGTTTTCCCTGGGGCACTCAGAGGAAACACAGCAGACTCGCCCCTGCGGCACTAACGCCCCTCCAACCTCTCCTCCCACAGGGTTTTCAGCTCCTAACTGGACCCTCTTGCCCAGCTGGCCGCAGGTTTTGTAAGCGCAGACTGCCACTGCTGAACCTTTCCTCTGGGACCCCGCGTGGCCCTCGCTCTGCCTCCCGTCCTTGTCGCTGTGCCCTGGTTTCCTTCGTCGGGGTTCTCGCCCCTCCGTGGTTTCCTCGGCCCTCCCGGGTTGACTTCTTGAGTTTTCCTGCTGCGATGCAATGCTTTTCTAACCTGCAGTGGCTCTTACAAAACTCTATTCCAGCCCCCTCTCTTGTTGACAAGGGCAACTAATGGGTGCATGAAACCACTGGAACATGGCCGCCGCTGCGGAGGTTTTTTTCTCTGGGGTTCCCCCGGAAAGGCTGCAGGAACTAGGCACAAGCTCTCTGAGTCCCTCAGCCGCAAAACTCCCCCCTTCTCCTTTTTTATGATGACGTTTTTGGTTGTGTGTGTGTATGCGTGTGTGTGATGGGCCAGGTCTGTCTGTTCTCTTCCCTGCGCGAGTATGTCAACCTTAGATCTCCACCTCTTCCACTGAAGACCCTCGATGCCAAGAAACGTGTCCCTGGCCCATATTAATCCCTCAAGTGTCCATAATTAAGGGTCCACGCCCATGTACCTGAAACATGTGGAAGCCCTGTAATTGTTCTGGTTAGAAAGGGTTCAGGGCATGGAGGGAGGAGTAGGAAATTGATTAAGGGGGCTATCTCCCAATGAAAGGGGCAGTCCCAGAATCTGATGCATTTAGATTCTGAGACCAGTGAGCAGAGCCCTCGTATGACTTGAACCCATCTAATGGATTGGGCGAGTCCCCTCCCCAAACCCACCCATCCCACCAGAATCACTTGACTCGGCCACATCCATTGACTCCACCATCTTCCAGCAATACCATCCAAGGGACCCGGAAATTACGTTGTTCAAAGAAACCTGGATCTTCCTGCTTTGCCGCTGGGTGACTTCGGATGAGTCACTTGTGCTCAGTTTTCCCTAGTCATAATGTTATATGAACCTAAAGAATATGACTGGGTAGGCCGGGTGTGGTGGTTCATGCCTCTAATCCTAGCACTTTGGGAGGCTGAGACAGGTGGATCACCTGAGGTCAGGAGTTCGAGACCAGCCTGACCAACATGGTAAAAGTCTCTACTAAAAATACAAAAATTAGCCGGGCGTGCTGACGCATGCCTGTAATCCCAGCTACTTGGGAGGCTGAGGCAGGAGAATCACTTGAACTTGGGAGGTGGAAGTTGCAGTGAGCCAAGACGGTGCCATTGCACTCGAGCCTGGGCAACAAGAGCGAAACTCCATCTCCAAAAAGAATAGAAATGGATTAAATGTTAAAGCTTTAGTGCCTGGAAACAATATCAAGTAACTATATGATTGTTATTTTTGTATTCCCCCAAAGGGGGCGGCTGCTTTCCCCTTAGGGATGAAATAACAAGCTAGTTAAAGTGCATGAGGTTGAAGAGAGACACCGTAGTGAGGTCCCATGTGGCTTCTTCCATAGGAACCATAACTCAGGGTGGGAAGAACGTGGCCCTCGGGCTTGTTGCCCTCTTCACTTGATCTCCAAAGTTTTAAACCTGTTAAAGTAATTTTGACAAATAAATTACCCTCAACTCAGATCAAAAAATGGGCAGCCAAGTCTTCGGTAGGAATTGGGGCCGGTGACATTTCTCCCTAGGAGGCAACCTGCTGAATTTACTCTCTCAGGGTGAATGCTGGGAAGGGATCCCTTGCTATACTTAAATGCTACAAATTAATGTCAGGTGGTGCCCAGAAAGAGCCAAGAAATGCTAGTGGCTGCCCCCCAGACTACAGGGTCCCCAAGAATGCAAAAGGGTTGTTGTGTCAGTTCTGCCCTGTTTGTTGTGTTCCATAGAGAAAACCACATTTCTTTTGTGTACTGTGTGTGGGCATATCTTGGTGTTAGTGTGGGTCCCTGCTAAAGAGGAAGTGCACTGGCCTCTTTGAAAGGGCTTTACAATGGGGGCACCAAGACCCCAAAGGGCCGACCTAGACTGCTAAAGTGAAAAGGCAATCTGTGTCTCAACTTTCTCCACCGTCCCTGGCAGCCCCCACTGCTGTCCCGTTCCTGGCACATGGAGTTTGACTTTGTGCCAGCTGTAATCTCCCCTGCCTGCCTTTAATCCCAATTTCCCCTGCTCAGCCTTCCACAGACATAAAGAACAAACACTCGGCATCCCACACTCACCCCTTCTATCCTGAAGGGAAGCCCATTCTAAACTTCTTTCCTGTAGGGTGCAGTGGCTCATGCCTGTAATCCCAGCACTTTGGGAGGCTGAGGCAGGCAGATCACCTGAGGTCAGGAGTTCGAGACCAGCCTGGCCAACATGGTGAAACCCTGTCTCTACTAAAAATACAAAAGTTGCTGGGTGTAGGGGTATGTGCCTGTAATCCTAGCTTCTAGGGAGGCTGAGGCAGGAGAATCGCTTGAACCCAGGTGGCAGAGGTTACAGTGAGATGAGATCGCACCATTGCACTCCAGCCTGGGCAATAGAGCGAGACTCCATCTCAAAAAAAAATTAAATAAACTCCTTTCCTGCAAACCCAATTCCAGCTCCTACTAGCTCTTCTCCCAAAGGCTTTGTTTCCAGTCCTTTATACCTTTGGAGATGCCTCCCCAGTTTTCCAGAAAAGGAAACTGCTATATCCAATCCCCATCAAACAGAAGCTGATCAGTGCATCCCACTCCAAGTCTAGCTTTATGCAGGAATGCTTCTCCATCAGGGAATAAATGCTTAGAAGAGGTTACCATGTGCCAGGCACCTCCTTTCTGCATATCCCTGCCCTTCTAGTAGCAGACAGATAGAAACATTGTCTTGTTTAGTCAAGGAATCCAAAGAAATGATTATGTAACCACAATTCATCTTTCTTCTCCAGAAAGATTTTTTTTTTTAAGTAAACACCTTTCAATCCCCAATACAAGCTGCTTCACAACTCCAGGCTAGAAGGCAGGAGAGTGATCTGATGTGTTTCTTTCATTTGCCAGAATTCCTACCAAAAGCCCCTTTCTGTTGAGTAACCTATCAAGGACCAGAGTGGAGTCCAGATTTAGAGTTTAGCTCAGATCCAGGGTGGAGAAATACTGCCCTCGCGTGGTGGCTTTTCATCCAGGCCTTGTAGCCAACAATAACTGCAAAATAGTATTAAGCAATGGATGAGCAAAATAGGGTTGACTGGGTATTTGGGGGTTATTCAAGTTATGTCCCATTTATTTCCATCTTCCCCTTGAACTGGCCTATAGCAGCTCCAACCCCATTTCACAAACGTGAGGTTGGCCGGGAGGAATGAGACATCTGAAATAGGAGCGTCGGAACATCACACCCACCTGCCATCACTGTGAATCCAGTTCCCACACCTTGTTTCATGAACGAGCAGAGGGACGATAGTTAAACTCCTAGGCAGGAGAGAGGGCTTCCTTTGGTTTCCCTGGAGTGAGATAGCCAGGTGTCTTTCATTTGCGGGGGTGATGCTTCAGACCCATCAAAATGGAATTTTGGGAGCCAACCTGAGTGCAAATCCTAATTCTGCCCCTGTTGGTGTAGATGGCTGTGGGCCTCTCCCTTGACCTTTTAAAGTCTACATACCCATCTGTATAAAAGGTGGATTGAGTGAGACAATGCCCACAAAATGCCCAGTATAGTACCTGGTTCATTTTAATTTTTCACTTGACTTATAATACGTCTTCCTTCTCCAATGTGTGGAAGGCATTGGGGAGTGTGTAGAGATAAGTAAAACACAGTTCTTCTCTTGTAGAAGATTAGAAACTTTTTTTTTTTTTGAGACAGTCTTGCTCTGTTACCCAGGCTGGAGTACAGTGGTGCGATCTCAGCTCACTGCAATCTCCACCTCCCAGGTTCAAGCAATTCTCCTGCCTCAGCCTCCTAAGTAGCTGAGATTATGGGTGTCTACCACCATGCCTGGCTAATCTTTGTATTATTAGTAGAGGTGGGATTTCACCATGCCTATAATCTCAGTACTTTATGGGAGGCTGAAATGGGAGGATCACTTGAGGCCAGGAGTTTGAGACCAGCCTGGGCAACATAGCAAAATCCCATTGCTATAAAAAACACTTTTAAAAAAAAAAATGAGCTGGGCATGGTGGCTGCTCCTGTAGTCCCAGCTACTTGGCAGGCTGAGGCAGGAAGATCACTTGATCCCAGGAGGTCGAGGTCACAGTGAGCTAGGATTGCACCACTACACTCCAGCCTGGGTGACAGAGCGAGACCCTGTCTCTAAGAAAAATTGAAAAGACCAGGAGCTGAAATTAAGGAAACACAGGTCTGAAGGATGGAGGGAAGGAGCCTGCCTCCAAGGGACTCAACACAGATATTCCCCATAAACAGGGATTTGACCTTTTGGGGCCAACCCAGCCCATCCTCAGCCCTTTATCTCATACTCCCTATCCTTGGCCCACTGCCAATCTCTGCCTTGTGGCAAAAGGACCCCAGAAGAAAAGCTGCCCCTCCCCAAATGTAAGGACCCAGGTACACTTTCACCCAAGACAAGCAGTATCTGTTGAGGGTCTGTTTCCTGTTAATACTTATCAAAGCCACGTGCGAGGGCGGTGGTCAAATGTCAGTATGCCTTAGTATGTTTATATGAGTTCGTTTTGTTCTGGAATATCCGAACAGTCTGGTCAAGCGGGACTATGCCTGTCTGTTCCAAAACACAGTCCATTACCGATGAGATGGCCCTGAAAGCAGGAACAGATCTGCCTCAATGCACTGCTTCCTGTAATCTTTTAGAAAATGACTCCAGGACATCCAAGCGCCAAGATTCGACTCCAAAGTTCTAGGAGACTCTAGCACAGGGTCTGTCAACCTCAGCACCACTGGCCTTTGGGGTTGGATAATTGTTTTTGTGGGGGCCGTTGTGGGCACTGTAAGAAGCTGAGCAGCATTCTGACCTCCACCCACTAGATGCCCATGGCAATGCTCTCCCAATGGTGACAATCAAATGTCATCAGACATTGCCCAACATCCCCCGGGGGCAACACCCCCTCTCTGGGACTTCAGGGGCCAGAGAATCTCTACTGGCTGCCCCAGGACTTCTCATTAAAGAGTTCCTGGAGCGAGCAGCAGAAACTTTGCTTAGCCCAGTTGTTTCCTTTATCTGCTGCCAAACTGAGATTTGAGGATATTGGGGGCCAGGGCATAGGGAGGGCAGTATGCTCTCAAAAACCCCTCCCAGGCTGGGTATGGTGGCTCATGCCTGTAATCCCAGCACTTTGAGAAGCTGAGCAGATGCATCACTTGAGGCCAGGAGTTTGAGACCAGCCTGGCCAACGTGGCAAAACCACGTCTCTACTAAAAATACAAAAATTAGCTGGGCATGGTGGCGGGCACCTGTAATCTCAGCTACTTGGGAGGCTGAGGCAGGAGAATCACTTAAACCCAGGAGACAGAGGTTGCAGTGAGCCAAGATTGCGTCACTGCACTACAGCCTGGTGACAGATGAGACCCCGTGCCAAAAAAAAAAAAAAAAAAAAAAAGCCCTCCCATGCCAGAACAGAGGATGGCAGTCCATTTTGATAAGATGCTATGTCCTTGGTGTTGGTTCTGATTAAGACCCAGTGAGGTCCAGTGCTCTCAAGCCGGGTCTCAGTGCCCTCCTGTGTTCTGCACTCTGCTGCCACTGTTTTTGTTGTTGTGTTGTGTCGTTGTGGTTGTTAAGACTCACACTCCTGGCTCAGCAGTGGTTTTCCAGAAGGCCCAAAGAGTGGTGCCAGGCATTCCACGTTGCAATGTCCATTCCGGGTTTGGGAAGCTGGGGAGGTGGGCAGACTTGGTCGCATCTCACCACACACACACACGCACACACGCACGCACGCACACACACGCACGCTGTCAGAAACTCGGCCGTCCCCCCTACCTCGAGCTCTCGATGCTGCTAATCTCTGCCAAGTGTCCCTGTGCTCCAGCACCTTCCTTGAAGGACTGACGCCCGCCCCACGCTCTTTGCGAGGTTGTCCAGGCTGTGTTCGCCGCATGCTCTTCTTCTGTATAGTTCTCATCTTCCAATTTTATGGGATTCAACAAAAGCCTATTAT